GGCCAGTTCTTTTCAACCACGCGACTAATAGTGTTGTCTTCAGTTTCATTCAACACCTGCACAACAGGATCCTCTGTATCTCCCGATTCCTCACAGTCGCTTTCCACTGGTTCTTCTGTACCTTCAGACTCCTCACAGTTGCTCACAACTGGTTCTTCTGTTCCTTCAGATTCCTCACGGTCGCTCAATATTATCTCTCCATAAAGACGACTTCCGCTTTGTCTACGGATCCCACGTGTGACATTCCTTTGTTCCACTCCCACTTGGAGTCCTACAATCCTCCCGCTCCCGTCTGTACCACGGTTCTTTGCCTTTGTGCGGGGTTCTTTATCAACTGCAATCCCGCCAGCACGCATGCTACGAGTCTTTGTCAGCTCTTCTTTGTCATCACTTGGTTGATTCAATTCTTCAACCCTCCCGCTCCCGTCAGTACCACGGGTCTTTACCTTTGTGCGGGGTTCTTTTTCAACTGCAATCCCGCCAGCACGCATGCTACGAGTCTTTGTCAGCTCTTCTTTGTCATCACTAGGTTGATTCAATTCTTCAACCCTCCCGCTCCCGTCAGTACCACGGGTCTTTGCCTTTGTGCGGGGTTCTTTATCAACTGCAATCCCGCCAGCACGCATGCTACGAGTCTTTGTCAGCTCTTCTTTGTCATGACTTGGTTGATTCAATTCTTCAACCCTCCCGCTCCCGTCAGTACCACGGGTCTTTGCCTTTGTGCGGGGTTCTTTATTAACTGCAATCCCGCCAGCACACGTGCTACGAGTCTTTGTCAGTTCTTCTTTGTCATGACTTGGTTGATTCAATTCTTCAACCCTCCCGCTCCCGTCAGTACCACGGGTCTTTGCCTTTGTGCGGGGTTCTTTATCAACTGCAATCCCGCCAGCACGCGTGCTACGAGTCTTTGTCAGTTCTTCTTTAGTGTCCTTGTCAGTGTCTTCCTCATCTTTATCATAAGGGTCTTTTCCTCCAGCTCTCATTTTATTCACTGTCATTTCCTGATCATGTGGCGGTACAACTCTAGAATCCTCTCCTCTCCCGATTGACATCCCCATGTGTCCTGAAGCTGTGTCAAGGATTGGTTCTTCTCCGCCATGAGCATACACTTTCTTATTTCCTACATCGATGACAAACCTGTGTTCATTCATGGTTTGTTTTGACAGCAGTAACGGAATGTCTGTGTCGACAACATGTGTTCTAATCACTATGTTCTTACCAAACATTTTCACAGGTAAAGTTACAAGCTTTCTAGCCACAACGCTTTCACCATCTCCAAAGCGAAATGTTGCTTTACTGTTCTTTGTCTTTAACTTCCTCGCTTCTTCCCCTGTGAGTGACTCTGTGTAGACTTCTAGCCACTTTTTTCCACATACCGTTGCAGACGCACCTGTGTCTAGTAAACCTTTGTTTACAGTTTCTCCGATGAAGTATGTATACTGTTCGTCTCTTTCAGGTAGAACTACTTCTCTCGTCATATCAGCCAGGTATGTATACCTTTGTCTTTGACCTTCTGTCTTATAAGTATTTCTTTGACCTTCAGTCTTGTAAGTATTATGAGGGCAGTTTGCTACACGATGGTTTGGATTTTTGCAAATATAACAACCCTGGTAGTTTTGGTTGGTTTGCTTTGTTCGGTTATCATTGCCATTACCATACTTTCTGAACTTTCCTTTCCCCCTGAACCTTCCGGTATTGTAAAGAACACCCTCATCTTCACTTTCTGCAGTTTCTCCACTGGCACTGCTGCTTTGTCTACTTCTTTGATCTGTAAACATGATGCCTTGTTCTTCCTTAATAACAGTTTCTATCCGGGTAGGACTTTCAAATGGTACTTCATCTCCAAATGTCTGCTTCAACGATTGGACCATCATTTTATAGTCTAGCTTCGTTATTGTTGCTTTAACAAGCCGTTTCTGGTCCGGGTTAAGGTTTGCTTGATTGAGAGTTTATACGCTAACACCCATCCTCGTACACTTCTTTTTCCCTCAGTTGGTCTATCTTCTTTCTTTTCTGTTCAAAGTCTCGCACATACAGGTCCATTGCTACACCTTCTGGTCTCTTATAGTGCTCGAAATCTTCAATTGCCATGAACAGATCGTGTGTGGCGTCTTTTAGAAACAGAGAATCCAGCTCTGTTATCAGCTTATCAACTCCGGTTTCAACTCCTAACTCTGCTGGTGCTATTTGTAGTGCTGCTTCATACGCTCTTCCATTCATGAATCCAATCAGACGGCTGGCTTGTTGAGTTTTCTTTGCTGTTGTTCCCAACTGCCACACTTTGACTGCTTTCTTCCAACGGCTGTAGTCGCTGTCATCCTCTAAATTCGGTATCTTCTCGCTCATAATGTGAATGAATGTGACAATTACTACAAACACAAAACTATTAGACTGTACACTGACACAAACAAATGTACACTGACTATAACTAACTAACACTGAGTTTTAATTACTTTCAACACTTGAATCAGTTCAATACTTTCTAGTTAGTCTCTTTCTTCTTTAAATTAACTGAACAGTCTATAACAATTTCTTCCAATTACCTTTTCTCTCCTTTCCTCTGGTTCTTCTTCGGTGGATCTGTCGTCTCTCACAAGTTAACTGAACTGCTACCACTGTTAATATGTGTGTTCACAGGACTTGAGTTGTTTACAAGAGAAACTCGCTGGGTTTGAAATAGAAACAGAACCTGTAATAAATAGGATTTATTACACCAATAATATAAACTCAAATAGTTATATCAAGTTCCAATTATCCATTGTAAATATATAATAGTATATAGATCATTGTAAATATATAGTTTAAAGGAATACGTACCGGTTGATACTCTACAATAACATAAATCTTCTTTCTACAAACTTAATCTTCTTTCTACAAACTTAATCTTCTTTCTACAAACTTCAACCGGTTCTCATGCTATGAATATATAATGATTAGTATTCTGCTAAGTCTAACACGTGTTGCTTCCGTTTACCGGAGTTTTTCTGGGTGCTAATTATCCACTAGCTGGAAAAGGAGTAAGTGCTAGATATCCACTAGCTGGAAAATAACTAATTGCTAGATATCCACTAGCTGAAGCGGCCCGGGGGGCGGCGTGTGAGTGAGTGAGTGAGTGGGGGTGGGTTCACCAGGGCTCACCAGGGCCTGGAAATGAGACTGGTGTGTGATCTGATCCAGTCAGTATGGTACACTGTTGCCAGCTGACTCACCAGCAACAATGCAAGTCCAAGAAGAAAGAAGGAGAGAACTGTCCGTTATCTGGGTGAGCCACCACCGACAGTGCTCCCACTTCTGTGGGTCTGAGGGTGTTGGCTCCAAGAACCAGCCGTGAGCAAACAGCGCCTGACCCCCTCTATGGTTAACTTGAGAATAACAGGACTATGCCTTTCTCCAGGCTATTCCGTTCAGTAACCAGCTGACCCAGCACCACCTCTGATGGAAGATGTGGTTCGGATTGGACTTTGAGCTAGGATTTGTCAGTTTTTCTGTAGACACTAATGCTCCCTCGAGGAAAGACATGAGCCCCGGCGAAACTGACCAAAAACGTGACAGGGATTCTCACCCTACTACTAGATGATTGTAGAGCGTCCAGTCACACTTCAATAAAGAGTGTGGTAAAGCTAACCCGGTCCCCTGAAAAGGTGCTGGTGCTTGTTAGCTGTTAGTGTTGACTTTCAATCAATCAAGGAAGGTTGAAAAAGAGAGAGCCGGCCTAAACAGTGACACAAAAGTGCAGAACTAGTGTTAATAATTGAAGACGATCTTCTGCTGTACGATGAATTCCTGTTGCGTTGTTAGCTTGATCCAGGGGGTTGGCGCCGTGAAGTCTGGAAAAATCGTGCGCGCTATATCTGAATTGCCAGAATAGTGGTGGCACCCTAGATTTAGACCTGTCGCAACCTTCGCGCCTTCCAGACTAGAGGATGGGAAGGGCTGTGGTACTGAATTGCCCGAATGCAATCCTTTGTTATCGGTCCGCGTATGGGAGCTGACGTGTTCCTTAAATCTGCGTTGTTCTGGCATCTTTTCTTGTACCCTGTTATATATTACCTGGGGGGAAGTTTCCTGGTGCTTGGTAGCTGTTAGTGTTAGTTTGTTAGGTCCTGTGGATAGTTTGAGCTGGCAAAACTCAGCCTTCATACTCAGTAAGTGAGTACACCACCCGTTAGTGCCAACCAGGCCACACCACGTGGAGGTTCGGAGTGGATAATAATGGCCCGATGAATGTTCTCATATAACAACTTTTATACTTGTTCTGATCAGTCACACTTGATTAGATACCAGCGTATTCACGGGTAAAGAATGTCAGTTTACTTCCACTTTGATATTATTAGTTTAACAACAAGGTATGATCTATGGTTGCATTTATAGTCTAGAAATAATCTCCACAAATGTTTAGAGCTATGTTTAAAATGAATTTTTCTGATTTAAATAAGAGAATTTTGCAGTTTGTTACACAAATATATGAGGAATTAATCATAATCTTTGATATATATCTAACCATTAATTGAATCCCACTAATTTTGTCTTGTCTCAATACGGTAGTAGAAATTAGTAAATATATCGTTTTTCCACAATCTATATTATTTGTTATTTTTATAATATGACTATTTATTAACTGTATTAAAGCTGCATGGTACTGATAGAATCTGAGGGGGTCTAATTATTATTATTTAATTATATTTAATTTATTTATACCACTGGTAATTAAAGATTTTGTTATTTGAATTTGGAAAGTTTGTGTATTTTTATTTTATTAATCAGTTATTTATCCAGGAAAGTTTATCATGTTAACACGGAGTAAAAGATCCTCAACAGCTGCTGATAAAGAAAAGAGTAACCAAAATTTAATTCCAATCAAAAAGGAAATAAAAACTGAACAGGAGGAGGTGACTGGAATATCACATGGTTTTATTTGTCCGAAATGTGAAGCTCACTTCCTTTATGATGAGTTCTTTGTGGAACATATCAGAGAACATCATGGTGAAACAATCAATGATATGTCTACTAGAAATGTTCTGTTCAGTTCTTTACGATCATCAGTCAGATTGGGCAAAGAAAATACTTCTCCTGTTGGGAAAGTTTTTAAATGTGACGATTGTTCTTATACCTGTACTGAGAACAGTGATCTTGTGAAACATTTACGTATTCACACGAGAGAGAAACCTTACAAGTGTAAGGAATGTTCATATTATAGTGCTCAGAAAGGTGATCTCAAGAAACATATGAGGACTCACACGGGAGAGAAACCCTACAAGTGTAATGAATGTTCATATTCTAGTGCTCAGAAATGTTCGCTCACAGCGCATATAAGGACTCACACCGGAGAGAAACCCTACAAGTGTAAGGAATGTTCATATTGTAGTGCTCAGAAAGGTGATCTCAAGAGACATATGAGGACTCACACGGGAGAGAAACCCTACAAGTGTAATGAATGTTCATATACTTCCTCTGTTAAATCAAATCTTATTACACACCAACGTACTCACATGGGAGAGAAACCATACAAGTGCAAGGAATGTTCATATTGTAGTGCTCAGAAAAGTGATGTCAAGAAACATATGAGGACTCACACGGGAGAGAAACCCTACAAGTGTAACCAATGTTCATTTTGTAGTGCTCGAAAAGGTGATCTCACATTACATATTAGGACACACACGGGAGAGAAACCCTACAAGTGTAATGAATGTTCATATACTTGCTCTGTTAAATCAAATCTTATTATACACCAACGTACTCACACGGGAGAGAAACCCTACAAGTGTAAGGAATGTTCATATTCTTGTGCTCAGAAAGGTCATCTCTCATTACATATAAGGACTCACACTGGAGAGAAACCCTTCAAGTGTAAGGAATGTTCATATACTTGCTCTGATAAATCAAGTCTTGTCAGACATCAACGTACTCACACGGGAGAGAAACTCTAAATTTGCCAGGAATGTTCTCATATAACAACTTTTATACTTGTTCTGATCAGTCACACTTTATTAGATATCAGCGTATTCACGGGTAAAGAATGTCAGTTTACTTCCACTTTTATATTATTAGTTGAACAACAACGAGGTATGATCTATGGTTGCATTTAAAGTTTAGAAATAATCTCCACAAATGTTTAGAGCTATGTTTCAAATGAATTTTTCTGATTTTTAAATGAAAGAATTTTGCAGTTTGTTGCACAAATAAGTAAGGAATTAAAACCATAATCTTTGATATATTATTAGATATATCTAACCATTAATTGAATCCCACTGATTTTGTCTTGTCTCAATAGTAGAAATTAGTAAATGTATCGTTTTTCCACAATCTATATTATTTGTTATTTTTATAATATGACTATGATATGACATTTATTAACTGCATTATAGCTGCATGGTACTGATATAATATAGATATCTGAGGGCCGAGGGGGTCTAATTATTATAATTTAATAATATTCCATTTATTTATACCCACTGGTAATTAAAGATTTGGTTATTTGAATTTGGAAAGTTTGTCTATTTTTATTTTATTAATCAGTTACTAATGCAGGAAAGTTTGCCATATTAACACGGAGTAAAAGATCCACAACAGTTGCTGATAAAGAAAGAAGTAACAGAAATTTAATTTCGATCAAAAAGGAAATAAAAACTGAACAGGAGGAGGTGACTAGAATATCACATGGTTTCATTTGTCCGAAATGTGAAGCTCACTTCCTCTATGATGAGTTCTTTGTGGAACATATCAGAGAACATCATGATGAAAAAATCAATGATATGTCTACTAGAAATGTCTTGTTAAATTCTTTACGATCATCAGACAGGTTGGGCAAAGAAAGTACTTCTCCTGTTGAGAGTGATTTTAAATGTGACGATTGTTCTTATACCTGTACTGAGAACAGTAATCTTGTGAAACATTTACGTATTCACACGGGAGAGAAATCCTACGAGTGCCAGGAATGTTCATATTGTAGTGCTCAGAAAGGTGATCTCAAGAAACATATGAGGACTCACACCGGAGAGAAACCCTACAAGTGTAAGGAATGTTCATATTGTAGTGCTCAGAAAGGTGATCTCAAGAAACATATGAGGACTCACACGGGAGAGAAACCCTACAAGTGTAAGGAATGTTCATATACTTGCTCTGTTAAATCAAGTCTTATAATACACCAACATACTCACACAGGAGAGAAACCCAACAAGTGCAAGGAATGTTCATATTGTAGTGCTCAGAAATGTGATCTCAATAAACATATGAGGACTCACACGGGAGAGAAACCCTACAAGTGTAAGGAATGTTCATATACTTGCTCTGTTAAATCACGTCTTGTCAGACATCAACGTACTCACACGGGAGAGAAACTCTAAATTTGCCAGGAATGTTCTTATACAACTCTTATAGTTATACTTGTTCTGATCAGTCACACTTTATTAGATACCAGCGTATTCACGGGTAAAGAATGTCAGTTTACTTCCACTTTTATATTATTAGTTCAACAACGAGGTATGATCAATGATTGTATTTATTGTTTAGAAATAATCTCCACCAATGTTTAGAGCTATGTTTGACATGATTTTTCTGATTTTTAAATGAAAGAATTTTGCAGTTTGTTGCACAAATAAGTAAGGAATTAATCATAATCTTTGATATATTATTAGATATATCTAACCATTAATTGAATCCCACTGATTTTGTCTTGTCTCAATAGTAGAAATTAGTAAATGTATCGTTGTTTCCACAATCTATTAATATTATTTGTTATTTTTGTAATATGACTATGATATGACATTTTTTAACTGCATTAAAGCTGCATGGTACTGATAGAAAAGAGATATCTGAGGGGGTCTAATTATTATAATTTAATAATAAATTCCATTTATTTATACCCACTGGTAATTAAAGATTTTGTTATTTGAATTTGGAAAGTTTGTGTATTTTTATTTTATTAATCAGTTACTAATGCAGGAAAGTTTGCCATGTTAACACGGAGTAAAACATCCACAACAGTTGCTGATAAAGAAAGAAGTAACAGAAATTTAATTTCGATCAAAAAGGAAATAAAAACTGAACAGGAGGAGGTGACTAGAATATCACATGGTTTCATTTGTCCGAAATGTGAAGCTCACTTCCTCTATGATGAGTTCTTTGTGGAACATATCAGAGAACATCATGATGAAAAAATCAATGATATGTCTACTAGAAATGTCTTGTTAAATTCTTTACGATCATCAGACAGGTTGGGCAAAGAAAGTACTTCTCCTGTTGAGAGTGATTTTAAATGTGACGATTGTTCTTATACCTGTACTGAGAACAGTAATCTTGTGAAACATTTACGTATTCACACGGGAGAGAAATCCTACGAGTGCCAGGAATGTTCATATTGTAGTGCTCAGAAAGGTGATCTCAAGAAACATATGAGGACTCACACGGGAGAGAAATCCTACAAGTGTAAGGAATGTTCATATACTTGCTCTGTTAAATCAAGTCTTATAATACACCAACGTACTCACACAGGAGAAAAACCCTACAAGTGCAAGGAATGTTCATATTGTAGTGCTCAGAAATGTGATCTCATTAAACATATGAGGACTCACACGGGAGAGAAACCCTACGAGTGTAAGGAATGTTCATATACTTTCTCTGTTAAATCAAGGCTTATCAGACACCAACGTACTCACACGGGAGAGAAACCCTACAAGTGTAACCGATGTTCATATTGTAGTGCTCGGAAAGGTGATCTCAAGAATCATATGAAGACTCACACGGGAGAGAGACCCTACAAGTGTAACCGATGTTCATTTTGTAGTGCTCGGAAAGGTGATCTCATTAAACATATGAGGACTCACACGGGAGAGAAACCCTACAAGTGTAAGGAATGTTCATATACTTGCTCTGATAAATCACGTCTTGTCAGACACCACCGAACTCACACGGGAGAGAAACCCTACAAGTGTAAGGAATGTTCATATTCTTGTGCTCAGAAAGGTCATCTCTCATTACATATAAGGACTCACACTGGAGAGAAACCCTTCAAGTGTAAGGAATGTTCATATACTTGCTCTGATAAATCAAGTCTTGTCAGACATCAACGTACTCACGCGGGAGAGAAACTCTAAATTTGCCAGGAATGTTCTCATATAACAACTTTTATACTTGTTCTGATCAGTCACACTTTATTAGATATCAGCGTATTCACGGGTAAAGAATGTCAGTTTACTTCCACTTTTATATTATTAGTCACTGAACAACAACGCGGTATGATCTATGGTTGCATTTAAAGTTTAGAAATAATCTCCACAAATGTTTAGAGCTATGTTTGAAATGAATTTTTCTGATTTTTAAATGAAAGAATTTTGCAGTTTGTTGCACAAATAAGTAAGGAATTAATCATAATCTTTGATATATTATTAGATATATCTAACCATTAATTGAATCCCACTGATTTTGTCTTGTCTCAATAGTAGAAATTAGTAAATGTATCGTTTTTCCACAATCTATATTATTTGTTATTTTTATAATATGACTATGATATGACATTTATTAACTGCATTATAGCTGCATGGTACTGATATAATATAGATATCTGAGGGCCGAGGGGGTCTAATTATTATAATTTAATAATATTCCATTTATTTATACCCACTGGTAATTAAAGATTTGGTTATTTGAATTTGGAAAGTTTGTCTATTTTTATTTTATTAATAAGTTATTAATGCAGGAAAGTTTGTCATGTTAACACGGAGTAAAAGATCCACAACAGTTGCTGATAAAGAAAGAAGTAACAGCAATTTAATTTCGATCGAAAAGGAAATAAAAACTGAACAGGAGGAGGTGATTAGAATATCACATGGTTTTATTTGTCCGAAATGTGAAGCTCACTTCCTCTATGATGAGTTCTTTGTGGAACATATCAGAGAACATCATGATGAAAACATCAATGATATGTCCTCTAGAAATGTCTTGTTAAATTCTTTACGATCATCAGACAGGTTTGGCAAAGAAAATACTTCTGTTGGGAAAGCTTTTGAATGTGACGATTGTTCTTATACATGTACTGAGAACAGTGATCTTGTGAAACATTTACGTATTCACACGGGAGAGAAATCCTACGAGTGCCAGGAAAGTTCATATTGTAGTGCTCAGAAAGGTGATCTGAAGAAACATATGAGGACTCACACGGGAGAGAAACCCTACAAGTGTAAGGAATGTTCATATACTTGCTCTGTTAAATCAAGTCTTATAATACACCAACGTACTCACACAGGAGAGAAACCCTACAAGTGCAAGGAATGTTCATATTGTAGTGCTAAGAAATGTGATCTCATTAATCATATGAGGACTCACACGGGAGAGAAACCCTACGAGTGTAAGGAATGTTCATATACTTTCTCTGTTAAATCAAGGCTTATCAGACACCAACGTACTCACACGGGAGAGAAACCTCACAAGTGTAACCGATGTTCATATTGTAGTGCTCAGAAAGGTGATCTGAAGAAACATATGAGGACTCACACGGGAGAGAAACCCTACAAGTGTAAGGAATGTTCATATACTTGCTCTGTTAAATCAAGTCTTATAATACACCACCGAACTCACACGGGAGAGAAACCCTACTTAAGTGTAAGGAATGTTCATATTCTTGTGCTCAGAAAGGTCATCTCTCATTACATATAAGGACTCATACTGGAGAGAAACCCTTCAAGTGTAAGGAATGTTCATATACTTGCTCTGATAAATCAAGTCTTATCAGACATCAACGTACTCACACGGGAGAAAAACTCTAAATTTGCCAGGAATGTTTTTATATAACAACTTTTATACTTGTTCTGATCAGTCACACTTTATTAGATATCAGCGTATTCACGGGTAAAGAATGTCAGTTAACTTCCACTTTTATATTATTAGTTCAACAACGAGTTATGATGTATGGTTGCATTTAAAGTTTAGAAATAATCTCCACAAATGTTTAGAGCTATTTTTAAATGAAAGAATTTTGCAGTCTGTTGCACAAATAAGTAAGGAATTAATCATAATCTTTGATATATTGGGGGGGGGGGGGTGTCACGTCCGTCTATGTCCGCTTGTCTCATAGAATCCAAAAAGGACAGGACATAGGCGGACATAGGCGGACATAGGCGGACATAGACGGACATAGGCGGACATAGGCGGACATAGACGGACATAGGCGGACATTAATGGACACCTAAATTGCTAAATAAAATGTTCAATTTTTGCTGTTATAGGGGGATCATGTTTTTTGTCCGTTCAATACCCTATATTTTCAAAACGGACAAAAAATAGAGCGGCAAAAACGGACAAAAATGGAAATAACATTTAGATGCTTCCTCCTCCTACTCTTCCTCCTCCTCCCCCTGGGTCTTCCTGATCTTCCTCAGTCCTCTTCCTCCTCCCCTCCCCATTCCTCCTCCTCCTCCTGAGTCCTCCTCAGTCCTCCTCCTTCTCAGTCATCGTCAGTTCCTTCTGAGTCCTCCTCCTGAGTCCTCCTCCTCCTCCCTCTCAGTCATCCTCCTCAGTCATCCTCCTCAGCCATCCTCCCCAGCCATCCTCCCCAGCCATCCTCCTCAGTACTCCTCAGTCCTCCTCCTTCTCAGTCATCCTCCTCAGTACTCCTCAGTCCTCCTCCTTCTCAGTCATCGTCAGTTCCTTCTGAGTCCTCCTCCCCAGTCCTCTTCCTCCTCCCCTCCTCAGTTCTCCTCCTCCTGGGTCCTCCTCCTCCTCTTCATCCTCCTCCTCTTCCTCCTCAGTCCTCAGTCCTCCTCCTCATCCTTCTCCTCAGTCCTCCATCCTCCTCCTCAGTCCTCCCCCAGTCCCCCTCCTCCTCCTCCTATTCAGTCCTCCTCCTCCTCCTCCTCCTTCTCAGTCCTCCTCAGTCCTGATCCTCCTCCTCCTCCTCCTCCTCTTCCCTTTCAGTCATCCTCCTCAGCCATCCTCCTCAGTCCTCCTCCTCCTGGGTCCTCCTCCTCCTCTTCATCGTCCTCTTCCTCCTCGGTCCTCAGTCCTCCTCCTCCTGGGTCCTCCTCCTCATCCTTCTCATCAGTCCTCCTCCTCCCCAGTCCTCTCCCAGTCCCCCTCCTTCTCCTCAGTCCTCCTCCTCCTGGGTCCTCCTCCTCCTCTTCATCCTCCTCCTCTTCCTCCTCAGTCCTCAGTCCTCCTCCTCATCCTTCTCCTCAGTCCTCCATCCTCCTCCTCAGTCCTCCCCCAGTCCCCCTCCTCCTCCTCCTATTCAGTCCTCCTCCTCCTCCTCCTCCTTCTCAGTCCTCCTCAGTCCTGATCCTCCTCCTCCTCCTCCTCCTCTTCCCTTTCAGTCATCCTCCTCAGCCATCCTCCTCAGTCCTCCTCCTCCTGGGTCCTCCTCCTCCTCTTCATCGTCCTCTTCCTCCTCGGTCCTCAGTCCTCCTCCTCCTGGGTCCTCCTCCTCATCCTTCTCATCAGTCCTCCTCCTCCCCAGTCCTCTCCCAGTCCCCCTCCTTCTCCTCCTCCTATTCAGTCCTCCTCCTCCTCCTCCTCAGTTCTCCTCAGTCATCCTCCTCAGTCATCCTCCTCAGCCATCCTCCCCAGCCATCCTCCTCAGCCATCCTCCTCAGTACTCCTCAGTCCTCCTCCTTCTCAGTCATCGTCAGTTCCTTCTGAGTCCTCCTCCTGAGTCCTCCTCCTCCTCCCTCTCAGTCATCCTCCTCAGTCATCCTCCTCAGCCATCCTCCCCAGCCATCCTCCCCAGCCATCCTCCTCAGTACTCCTCAGTCCTCCTCCTTCTCAGTCATCCTCCTCAGTACTCCTCAGTCCTCCTCCTTCTCAGTCATCGTCAGTTCCTTCTGAGTCCTCCTCCCCAGTCCTCTTCCTCCTCCCCTCCTCAGTTCTCCTCCTCCTGGGTCCTCCTCCTCCTCTTCATCCTCATCAGTCCTCAACAGTTCTCCTCCTCCCCAGTCCTCCTCCTCCTCCTGGGGCCTTTTCCTGGGTCCTCCTCCTCCTGGGTCCTCCTCCTCCTGGGTCCTCCTTCTCCTCCTCAGTCCTTCTCCTCCTCCTCCTCAGTCCTCTTCCTCCTCTTCCTCCTCCTCCTCCCTCTCAGTCATCCTCCTCAGCCATCCTCCTCAGCCATCCTCCTGAGTCCTCCTCCTTCTCAGTCCTCCTCAGTCCTCCTCCTGAGTCCTCCTCCTCCTGAGTCATCCTCCTCAGTTCTCCTCCTCCTCCTCCTAGGTCCTCCTTCTGGGTCCTCCTCCTCCTCCTCCTGGGTCTTCCTGATCCTTCTCCTCCCTCTCAGTCATCCTCCTCAGTCATCCTCCTCAGTCATCCTCCTCAGCCATCCTCCTCAGCCATCCTTCTCAGTACTCTTCAGTACTCTTCAGTCCTCAAAATGTTTGTCCGCTAATGTCCACCAATGTCCGCTAATGTCCACCAATGTCCATCCAAGTCCGCCAATGTCCGTCCGGGTCCCCCAATGTCCGTCCGAGTCCGCCAATGTCCGTCCGAGTCCGCCAATGTCCGTCCAAGTCCGCCAATGTCCGTCCGTGTCCGCCAATGTCCCAAAAAACACGTCCGTTGTCTCATAGAATCCAAAAAGGACAGGACATAGGCGGACATAGACGGACATGACACCCCCCCCCCCCTATATTATTAGATATATCTAACCATTAATTGAATCCCACTGATTTTGTCTTGTCTCAATAGTAGAAATTAGTAAATGTATCGTTTTTCCACAATCTATATTATTTGTTATTTTTATAATATGACTATGATATGACATTTATTAACTGCATTAAAGCTGCATGGTACTGATAGAAAAGAGATATCTGAGGGGGTCTAATTATTATAATTTAATAATAAATTCCATTTATTTATACCCACTGGTAATTAAAGATTTGGTTATTTAAATTTGGAAAGTTTGTCTATTTTTATTTTATTAATCAGTTACTAATGCAGGAAAGTTTGTCATGTTAACACGGAGTAAAAGATCCACAACAGTTGCTGATAAAGAAAAGAGTAACAAAAATTTAATTTCGATCAAAAAGGAAATAAAAACTGAACAGGAGGAGGTGACTAGAATATCACATGGTTTCATTTGTCCGAAATGTGAAGCTCACTTCCTCTATGATGAGTTCTTTGTGGAACATATCAGAGAACATCATGATGAAAAAATCAATGATATGTCTACTAAAGATGTCCTGTTAAATTCTTTACGATCATCAGACAGGTTGGGCAAAGAAAGTACTTCTCCTGTTGAGAGTGATTTTAAATGTGACGATTGTTCTTATACCTTTATACCTGTAATGAGAACAGTGACCTTGTGAAACATTTACGTATTCACACGGGAGAGAAATCCTACGAGTGCCAGGAATGTTCATATTGTAGTGCTCAGAAAGGTGATCTCAAGAAACATATAATGAGGACTCACACGGGAGAGAAACCCTACAAGTGTAAGGAATGTTCATATACTTTCTCTGTTAAATCAAGTCTTATCAGACACCAACGTACTCACACGGGAGAGAAACCCTACAAGTGTAACCGATGCTCGGAAAGGTCATCTCTCATTACATATAAGGACTCACACTGGAGAGAAACCCTTCAAGTGTAAGGAATGTTCATATACTTGCTCTGATAAATCACGTCTTGTCATACACCACCGAACTCACACGGGAGAGAAACCCTACAAGTGTAAGGAATGTTCATATTCTTGTGCTCAGAAAGGTCATCTCTCATTACATATAAGGACTCACACTGGAGAGAAACCCTACAAGTGTAAGGAATGTTCATATTCTTGTGCTCAGAAAGGTCATCTCTCATTACATATAAGGACTCACACTGGAGAGAAACCCTACAAGTGTAAGGAATGTTCATATTCTTGTGCTCAGAAAGGTCATCTCTCATTACATATAAGGACTCACACTGGAGAGAAACCCTTCAAGTGTAAGGAATGTTCATATACTTGCTCTGATAAATCAAGTCTTGTCAGACATCAACGTACTCACACGGGAGAAAAACTCTAAATTTGCCAGGAATGTTCTCATATAACAACTTTTATACTTGTTCTGATCAGTCACACTTTATTAGATACCAGCGTATTCACGGGTAAAGAATGTCAGTTTACTTCACTTTTATATTATTAGTTGAACAACAACGAGGTATGATCTATGGTTGCATTTAAAGTTTAGAAATAATCTCCACAAATGTTTAGAGCTATGTTTGAAATGAATTTTTCTGATTTTTAAATGAAAGAATTTTGCAGTTTGTTGCACAAATAAGTAAGGAATTAATCATAATCTTTGATATATTATTAGATATATCTAACCATTAATTGAATCCCACTGATTTTGTCTTGTCTCAATAGTAGAAATTAGTAAATGTATCGTTTTTCCACAATCTATATATTATTTGTTATTTTTATAATATGACTATGATATGACATTTTTTAACTGAGTTATAGCTGCATGGTACTGATATAATATAGATATCTGAGGGCTGAGGGGGTCTAATTATTATAATTTAATAATATTCCATTTATTTATACCCACTGGTAATTAAAGATTTGGTTATTTGAATTTGGAAAGTTTGTCTATTTTTATTTTATTAATCAGTTACTAATGCAGGAAAGTTTGCCATGTTAACACGGAGTAAAAGATTCTCAACAGCTGCTGATAAAGAAAACAGTAACATAAATTTAATTCCGATCAAAAAGGAAATAAAAACCGAGCAGGAGGAGGTGACTGGAATATCACATGGTTTCATTTGTCCGCAATGTGAAGCTCACTTCCTTTATGATGAGTTCTTTGTGGAACATATCAGAGAACATCATGGTGAAACGATCAATGATATGTCTACTAAAGATGTCCTGTTAAACTCTTTACGATCATCAGATAGGTTAGGGAAAGAAAATACTTCTCTTGTTGGGAAAGCTTTTAAATGTGACGATTGTTCTTATACCTGTAATGAGAACAGTGATCTTGTGAAACATTTTAAATGCATTCACACGGGAGAGAAACCCTACAAGTGTAACCAATGTTCATATTCTTGCTCTGATAAATCAAGTCTTATTATACACAATCGTACTCACACGAGAGAGAAACCTTACAAGTGTAAGGAATGTTCATATTATAGTGCTCAGAAAGGTGATCTCAAGAAACATATGAGGACTCACACAGGAGAGAAACCCTACAAGTGCAACGAATGTTCGTATTCTAGTGCTCAGAAATGTTCGCTCACAGCGCATATAAGGACTCACACCGGAGAGAAACCCTACAAGTGTAAGGAATGTTCATATTGTAGTGCTCAGAAAGGTGATCTCAAGAGACATATGAGGACTCACACGGGAGAGAAACCCTACAAGTGTAATGAATGTTCATATACTTCCTCTGTTAAATCAAATCTTATTACACACCAACGTACTCACATGGGAGAGAAACCCTACAAGTGTAACCAATGTTCGTTTTGTAGTGCTCGGAAAGGTGATCTCACATTACATATTAGGACACACACGGGAGAGAAACCCTACAAGTGTAATGAATGTTCATATACTTGCTCTGTTCAATCTAATCTTATTATACACCAACGTACTCACACGGGAGAGAAACCCTACAAGTGTAAGGAATGTTCATATTCGTGTGCTCAGAAAGGTCATCTCTCATTACATATAAGGACTCACACTGGAGAGAAACCCTACAAGTGTAAGGAATGTTCATATACTTGCTCTGTTAAATCAAGTCTTGTCAGACATCAACGTACTCATACGGGAGAGAAACTCTAAAATTGCCAGGAATGTTCTTATATAACAACTTTTATACTTGTTCTGATCAGTCACACTTTATTAGATACCAGCGTATTCACGGGTAAAGAATGTCAGTTTACTTCCACTTTTATATTATTAGTTGAACAACAACGAGGTATGATCTATGGTTGCATTTAAAGTTTAGAAATAATCTCCACCAATGTTTAGAGCTATGTTTGAAATGAATTTTTCTGATTTTTAAATGAAAGAATTTTGCAGTTTGTTGCACAAATAAGTAAGGAATTAATCATAATCTTTGATATATTATTAGATATATCTAAACAATTTAATGTGCAGTCGTGTCAACGTTTTTAAGGAATGGATTGTGATGAACGGTCCCAAACGGCCAAATTCAAGAGTTACCAGTCTACTGGGTAGTTCGGTTAAGCTACGTTAGAGAATACATAAAAAAAACTGAATCCCAATTCTTATCAACTTTAATACCTCTTTTAGCAGTGTTGTTTTTAGCGCGTCTGTTGAAAGAGAGAGTGAGATCAGTTGACATTTGTTTGTTAGCAAGTGCTGAAACTGATAACAGGTGTTGTGTAGTTAGAGTTGAGGAGATACACCACCTCCCAAATGGAGCCTCAACTGTATTGGGACTCTGAAATTAGGTGGAATTGAAAATATATAAGTATATAATACACTTTTAAGGATAGGCCCTATGAAATTTAATTTGATAATTGAAAGTTAATTCTAAGTATCAGTATGTGTGCCAGATAAAGTACCTGTTGTTGTATGCTCTGTTCCCAGCCAGGTAACAGTAACATGAAAGTAGAGCTGCTCCCCACAGTACCGTAAGATAACTCCTTGCCCGGAACTAGGAGCCCCAGGTGCTTGACACAGGTCCGGTCTATGTTCAGGTCCACACCCCAGGCGTGGAGACATGACAACAGCAGGGAACATGTTAGTTTGATGATGTCCAGTGTCTCCTTGTCGTCCTCTTTGTCCTCTATGTCCTCCGAACTGCTCTTTATCTCCGCAGTGTTTTCCACCGGTATCTCTGATATCACACTTCTCTCTTCCAGTAACTTGGCCGTCTCTGTCTGTTTGATTATCGAGGTCCGTCTGTCTGATAGTCGCTGATCTGCACGTGCTGATGCGCGCCGCCTTTCCGTTACATTAGGCTGGGACTTGCTCCTCTCAAACTCTGCGTTAAAATGGGATTTAGAGTTATAGAAGTGATAAGTTTTGAATGCTATAATTCATTTGAGAAAGAAAACGAAAAATAACTACACACAGGATGTGTCTTAGTTTAGTACCACTGACCATGAGTCATGATGTCTCCTTGAAGTTGAGATAGTAAGTGTAAGAGTAGTTCCGTATCAAAGAGTAGTAGGTGAGACATGTTGTCACCAGATGAGAAGCTGAAGGGAACCACACTGAGACCGGTGCTGTGTCTGGTTACGCTACTGGAGGGTTTTATCTCTAGTTTACAGTGCTCGCCTTCACTGAAGGTTTGACAGGCGGATACCAAACTCAGAGCCACTGCTCCTGTCTCTATTCTGTCCAGGTGTCCTGTACTCAGTCCCCAAACGTACACTGTGTCATCTGCCAGGCATAAAATTGTTATTAAGCAAATACCTTTTTCAATCTATAATCAAACAATCGCTGACTAATCCTCACTTAGAAAGTGAACGAGTAGGAACGAGTAGGATGTCCTAACCTAAAAAGTGAACGTGTTAGATGTCTTAACCTAGACAGTGAATGAGTAGGATGTCCTAACCTAAACAGTGAACGAGTAGGATGTCGTAACTTATAAAGTGAACGAGTAGAATGTCCTAACCTAAACAGTGAACGAGTAAGATGTCCTCAGTTAGCCGCCATCTGATCTCCAGTACTCCAGTGTGATGACAGGATCCCACAAACAAGGGAGTGAACTGAGCGTGAGTTGTTATTGCGATACTGTTATCTTGACATACTGAAACTACACTCCCTCGCAACTTTCCCTGTGGAGTTGATATTTGTGAACATCAACAAATGCGGCATTGATAGTTTGGCAGTGTAAAGTTGACCAACCCTGCCAATCTTTAAACCAAGTTAATTTTATTCATTCACTAAATCAGAGGACTAATTGAGAGTGTCCACTTAATACTAACAGTGGCTTGTGTTGGAGGTAAGAACAGTCTGGTTAATGGTCCAGTGTGAGTGGTAAAACTCTGAAGTAGCACCACTTTCTTCCAATCCCAGATCTTCACACTGAAATCAGCTCCTGAACAAATTTTACAGATTTACACGTGTCTGGGACCAACAGAGTGCTTTTTTTCGAATGATACGGACATGAGATTAGTTTGATGACTGACATCAGTGAGTGATACAAGCGATCAATGTTGCTGTTTTACAATCTATATCTCGGTCGGGCTCGGCTAGTATGATTAAATTTAGCTTGCTTATTACGCTCGCGCGCGTCACGTGACTTACAAACGCGCACAAAAGCGCACTTTTTAAGCTTCGCGCGTTACAAAAAAGCGAACAAATTTCCGTCTCTAATATTGCCACACTATTCCACACGCGGACTTTGTTTTCAAAATTTAGCTAAAAAGCTTCAGTTATAATAGAATCGTTATAAAATATATATTGGCAATTCTTGGATCGGAGCATATACAAGAGGCTGTAAATCTAATAACAGTAATATAAAGATAGTAAAGAAGTACAACTTTATGACTCCAGGAAACGATAGCGGTATAGAATTGTATCAGATACTGTACTCTTATAACTGTACTGGGTAACACGCCTCATCACTAGGCAAATAGTTACTTTTAACATCATTCTAGTTACGAACATGAATACGAATCTGTCGCATATATCTTAAAGAAATGCCCAAAAATGTTACCTCCACTGTAGAGAATGTTAGGAAGATAAGAAGAAGGTTGGCTGGCATGAGGATATAGCAGTACACTAACATTCCCTTTGTGCCCCTTTAACCTCACTCTCGAATCTATCTCCTCTGAATCTTCTGAAATATTTATAAAACCTTCATAAAGTCATAACGGTGTTTCCAAACTTTTTGCCAGAGGATCGGATCTAACTCGAACAATTATTTTCAATCATGAATAATCATCTTGTTAAGGATTAATTACAAGTATGAAGTCTATTATTTATAGAGTGAACTGGCAATAATCTTAAATTTGGTGCATTTTCAATGTTAATGTCTAGTCTAAACTACTAAACTATTAGTTAATGCCTAGAATTCACCGCTAACACCCTCTGTCTAGCCGCACGAAAAAAAGACTCAATATCAGTACACGACTTTATCAGCACATGAACATTGAAAAAGGTTGGTAATGAAGAAGGAATATGACAATATCTTACCAGTACATTTGAACAGGGAGTGAGTAAGGAAGTGGTGAACTAGTCCTACAATTATATCACCAGAGGATAGCCCACAAGCGATGTAAGATAGACTCTCCAGATACACACTCGCTGTTATATCAACCGCATCACCGCATCTGTTACACTGTACATTGAGTCTGTTTATACATTAGAACAATTAACTATCGTAACAGCAGTAGTTTTAAATGTAAGGAACTGATAAGGCAGTTTAAGGGGGCATACGCTAAAACTGTCCAACCCAAATGACCTCATAGGAAGTTCAGTAACTATTTAGCTGGACATTTTTGGTGTATGCCCCCTTAAGAGGGCCAGGGGGTCACATTATGGTAAGAAAGTTCAAATATTTACCTTCTCATTGACTAAAGCAACATTGTCTTTGTTCCAAGTCTTTGATAGACTGGTATGTATACATTCCACTAAACCCTCACTAGCTATATCTTTCTCTCTATCTTGTTTCCATAGTGACAATCTGCCGTCCCTATCTCCTCTAATCAGTACATCGTGTGGGGTTCTCATAGATTTCTTGTGCACTAATAAACATTCCTGCAATTAACACAATATTAAATAACATAGATTAATTAACATACTTACACTATGTGGTCAATACGATACTAATAATTGGTAGTTAGAAAATAAACTAAAGAGTTGCAACAAAAAGGTGAGAAGAGAAGTATACTAAGGATTACGGATGGAACTTATGGTTACTGAATAGCAAATAACATATAGCAGTTGTACCATGAGAGGCCCAGTAGGTACACTGTACAGAAGAGTAGGGGGCTCTGCGCTCCAGGAAGCGTCACTGTGATCTACGGGGCGAATAGCGCGCGCAGGCAACTGGTACACGTACAACACTCCGTTCTCTCTCCACAGCATTATCTTGTCCACTGTGTAAAACTTACCACCACTCCACGGTACCTCCTGGTTACTGGCTCCAGAACATAACAACACAAAGTCACCTGAGAAGGTATTATTACTTTATTACCCTTAATTAAACACTAATAGTAGATAAGATTGTATCTTATATATTATTATTACATATATATACTATATTACTTTCTATATATAACTTTGCGCTTTTCATTAAGAATTAAAACAATGCATTCATATTATAGTCTATAGAGCCAGGGTGTGGACTGTGGACTGGCTACACCTGATAAATGTTATACGTTGTCTTATTTTAAGATGGGTTTGATGGCAACAAAGAGTGAAAAATCGGATGCTCTTACAAGACAAACAGAAACCAGGTCCTGACTATCTTTTTAGTGCCATATATTATATTATATTCCGAGTTAATTCTTCAAATGTAATCACCGACTATTAGAGTGTCTTGTGTATTTTTTCCTTTCACACTTTTTCTCGTAAAAAAGTAATAGTGAAAGGTTACGAATGGACGTTTTTGCAGAAAAACGTGGATTTTGGAGAACTAGGTAGGTGGGTTAAAATATGTCGTGTTCCTTACGTCCGTTACCATGACAACTAGCCACGCGCAGTGCAGCGCGCGAGTTTATTTTAATGTATTAATGTATGTAATGTATAGTATTAGGTAATCAGCCCAATTTGTACGTGGCACGCGTATTGTACTGATGTGTATCAATATAATTATTATGAAGTGAGCTGATTAGAGCTTATATTTATAGTTATAGTGAATGGAAATCTAGCGTCCGCCAAAACGAAACAACGGGTGCAATTCGAGTTATAGTTGTTTTAAACCTTTTTTGTCCTTGTAAAGGTCGTCAAGGAACTGGTCGCTGTTCTTCCTATGGCGCTAAATTTGAAAAATGAAAGATTAACAAAACAAATGAATTACTGACCGGCCCTGTAAATCCTCCAAATACTCTGACACACAATGAGGCAGTTGTAGAGACTACGAGGGTTGTAAGTGACACACACTGGTCGGGGACAGTTCAGTATCTTCGTCTCTGACTCTAATATCATCTTCTCCCTTCCTTCAAACTGCAGGTTCCAGGTTTTGATCTGTCCGTTAACCGTAATACAGACCACCTCCTCGTCTTTAGTTTTAGGAGGCTGGAATACAGTGTAGCACAGGACCCAGTGGGTAGGGTCGCTGGGTACCAGGTGATGTTTTATATCTAGGGTATTGTAATCCAGAACTGTTATAGCACCGTACTGCCCACAGACTAGCACGTTCTGGGATGAGGGCAGCGTCTGAAACAAGTTGGAATTACAACAACTTACTTCTTCAAATAACATATCTTTTAACCTTAACATATTATTATGAACACAATCTATCTCTAAGTGATCTTTAAACAATGAAGAGAAAAAGCTAAAGCACTGAATGAAATACCTGCAGTTTGATGAGGGGTCCTTGAACTACAGTGCTCAACATATAAGAACCATCCGTCACATTCCATTTAAATACCTCCCTGCAACGAATATCATTCCAGGTTATGTCATGAAACACAAACATTGATATAAAGAAGTGCTAACAAAATGAAAACACCCTGAATATCATAATAAAAATGTTATATGTTATAATGAGTAATTATTGCATTGTTGTTAAATAAGCTACACGAAGCTGCACATTAACAGCACTTCTAAAGATACAAGGAAACTAACCCGTTAGAAGCAGCAGATATGATATGAAAGTTGTTGAGTCCAGATACCAGCTGGTCCATGCCAACCACCTCTGTAGAATGTCCAACTAGGAAGTTCCGGGGAATCAGGGCTTCCGGGAACACGTCACACACCAGCAACTGAAAGAGAGCTCACAATAAGTATTTCATTTCAAGACCTACTTCACCTCCCACCCCTTTGTTAATCATCAACAATAATAATTATTCATAAGTAGACATATAGACTGTTTCAAAATAAATGAGTGTGTAATCAACCTGCCCCTCGGTGGATCCCGAAATGAGAACTTTGTCATCACGTGACAGAAAGAGACAAGAGACGGTGTGGGAGGGTGGTCGTGAGCCCCACAGCACTATCGGGAGGAGCATGGAGCTATAATATCGTATTAGTGCTGATATCTTCTGTCATTGTGTAACTCAGCTGTACTTCCTTGCTACAGCAATTTATTGGCATTAAATCAAACAGGATTTTTAAAGACGGTAAAAATCCGCGCGCCTAAACACTAATGCTTATTACAGAAAACACAGCAATTAAGGTGAACGATTCACCAAATTTGCAGCTTTTAGGTGCTCTCTGGTAGGATCATACCTTACTACATACCTTACTACATACCTTACTACATACCTTACTACATACCTTACTACACAGTACATGTATACCTTACTACATACCTTACTACATACCTTACTACATACCTTACTACATACCTTACTACACAGTACATGTATACCTTACTATATACCTTACTATATACCTTACTACATACCTTACTACATACCTTACTACATACCTTACTACATACCTTACTACACAGTACATGTATACCTTACTACATACCTTACTACATACCTTACTACATACCTTACTACATACCTTACTACATACCTTACTACACAGTACATGTATACCTTACTATATGGACACGTTCATTGAAGTTTGAGGAAATTGGTAAATTTCTAAAACAGCGTTTTTGACGATAGTGGTTTGATTTTAACATATATTAATCTAGCGTGTTCATAAGTTCTGAACATTAGCCACGTGACCCATACTCCCATATGCACTGCTCAAAAATAAAATGTATTGCTTTCAGGCACTATTATGTAAAAAATGTCACATTTTTGTGACATTGTTTACCATAGCTGCCCAATTAGCATTTTTTGGTCTAAAAGATAGTAGATTAGGTCAATCTAACAATTATGATACAATGTAGGCCTAAAGGGCAGTGATCGAACGGCTTTAAGGCAACATTTCGTAAACTTTGTCACACTCAGAATACGAGACCTCTTTTCTACTGTGAGGTGTCCTCAAAACCCTTTTAACTCATTATTTGATAGTTCTTCTGCCAATCATAGCCCTAAAATATGTTGTTTTGAAAAGTTAACAAATACATGCACTTAGCTATTGGGAAATGATGTAAATTCTGTCATATCATATGGAATTTGAAATTCTGGGTGAATTTCCGAAATCATTTATATCTGATTTTGGGTTGGAAGGCGGGAAAACTCTATATGAGGACGATACACGGATAGAGTTGAGACACAGTTAATAAACTGCGGAGTGACTAAAATGCTATACAGCAAAAACAGAACGCTCCAACCAAACACTCCACCTACTGATCCTAACCACCCTAACAACTCTCTAGCTCTCTCTCTTCAACCCTCATTCCCTCACTCCTCTTGGTGCACAAAACCATTCTAACCTATGTATGTCCCCCTGACGGGTTCCACAAGCCCAACGGTACATAGTTAGACGAAAAACAGAGAAGCCTTGATTGCCAGATCAAGGACTGCATCAGTAGCAGCGAAATACGGATATACCTTCTCCCTTACAGTCAGCGAGCTGACAACTATCTGACTGTGTCTTTTAGGCCTTGTCACACCACCTTCGCTATTGCATCCGCTCGCCCGTATTCACTGACACATGCCACACCTGGGTTTAGTATGAAGATGTACGCATATTCACCCAAGATGCGGAGATGCCTCAGTTTAGCGAGTTGAGATACAACAGCAAACTCACAGGAGCATGGATCAGAATCATCAGTTACCAACCTGACACCGTTTCGGGGCTTTAATCGCAATACGGTTTCCTGTCAGGCGCCCCAGCAGTCCACCCTTGAACCACCATCTGATCCGAGAGTCACTTGAGGAGACCCGTTAGAGCTCGCAATTGTCGACGAGATAACGTTTTCTGGTACCTCTAGATGTTATAGTGAACTCTCAAGCTCCAACCTTCCTGAACTCCCACTCCCTCTTTCTCGATAACAAGTAGATCCATCTGGAACAGTGGGCTGCCTCTTTCCCACTGTCCCGTACCAGCTTCTTCAGCTCTCTTCCCCTAAAACCAATCCTCCTCGCAGCTCTCTCCAAACTCTGCGCAACCACTCCCCTAGCTCCAACTTCGACTGCGGCATTATAACAGCACCAACCTTCCGCCTGAATCTCAGCCTGCAGACCGCTGTATCGGTCGAGCTTGTACTCGTGCGATTCAGCGATCCGCTCTTCAGATGGTACTGTTAGCTCCCACCAAATAACTGTCTTTGCCGACCTTGAGAATATCACAAGGTCCGGCCTCAGCCGTGTTTCCACAATCTCACTGGGAAACTTAAGCTGCCCCTCAAGGTCTGACAGCACTATCCAATCCCGATACCCACTCAGGATCCCAAAACCACGACTCTCCTTCCGGTCGTCTGTACCTGCTTTTCTTTTCCCAGCAGGAACAAAATCAATGAACTGCCTTCCATCGCCGGCCTTGTTCTTATAAGTGTTCACTCGGCGATCACAATGGAAGACAACCTGTTCAGAGATCTGCTTCAGAACTTTGTCGTGCCGCCATCTATACCTTCCTTGACTAAGGGCCACCTTACACCCAGCCAAAATGTGCTGAATGGTGCCCATCCTCTCCTCACATAACTTGCACTTCCCATCCTCATCTTCACTCCACTTGGAAACCATAGAGGGGGTTAAGAGGGTGCCGTACACAGCACTTAGCATGAACCCAATAAGTGAGTCACCATACTTAAAAAGTGTATGCCAGCTCAAATCCGTCTTCATTACGAGCTCTCTCCACTCACCCCACCTGCTCTGCATCTCCAGAGAACCTACTTGCACCTCCCTCTCTCTTTCAATGTTCTCCTTCACTCTCAGCATAACCTCCCTCTCTCTTTCCCGTTCATCCATCCTCTCCCAAGGTTTTTTCCAGTCACCAAAACCGATGCCAACTCTTTTTTGAGGTTGCACCATCCCTCGCACCGATTCACAGACCAAATCTCTTCTGGCCTCTTCCAGTTCTGTCTCAGGCCTCCAAACTCTACCAGAACGAACTTGGGGCTGGACTGCTTTAATCAGGTCATCCTTAGATGTCTGATAGGATTGCAACAGTCGACACTTCTCTATCTTCCATGTATCTGTCAAACTGCTCACCGGTAAGGCCACACTGGATGATTGACTGAACAGACAAAGACCACTCAGAGTGTGCCCCACCCCTAACCACTTCCTGAGGAAACTATTGGTATTCTGTTCCCATCTGGTAACTGTTGTGATCGGAATATCATAGATGGCAAGAGGCCACTTCAGTTTTGGAAGGACCATGTACTGATATCCCCAGCACTTCTGGAGTCCAGTAAGGGAACTTTCATCGAGTCTCCGAAGAAAAGTGTTAAGGTCGACCTTGGTTGAGTCGATGACTGATTTGTCATTTCCTTCCACTCTTATCCATCTCCCAAGGAATTTTATCGGCTTCTCTGACACATTCGGAATCACCTCACCACCCAACTGCAAACACACCTCTTCTCTCTCCACCTCCTCCTCTCCTACCACTACCTCCTCAACCCACCTCACAGCCACTCCCTTCTTCAACACCAGTGCTCTGGACTTGGAGGACTTTAACTTAAATCTGGACCAGTCCACGTACTTCTGAAACACATTGAGTAACGTTTGCATATCCTCTGCACGTGCGGTCGTCAGACAGCTATCGTCCATAAACAGCTTCAGAGTTGGTATCGGTGTGTCATCCTTGATGAACTCAATGCTTCTCGGAACCTTAGACTTTAGGTGTTCATGCCCAAGGTTCATGCACAAGACAAACAAGATGACTGATATCACACACCCCATGATACAGTTGATTGAAGTATAGGGCAGTTGATGTAAACACTAAACATCGTCACAAAATTATACGAAATCGTAAATGGACACGTTCATGTTGAAGTTTAAGGATATTGGTAAACCAAAAAAAAATAGCTTGTTCAGAAGTTCTGGACATTAGCCACGTGACCCATACTTCCATATACACGGCTCAGAAATACAATTTATTGTTTTTAGGCACTATAATGTAAAAAATGTCACATTTTTGTGACTGTGTTAACCATAGCTGCCCAATTAGCATTTTTTGGTTTAAAATATAGTAGATTAGGTCATTCTAACAATTATGATACAACATTTGGCTAAAGGAAAGGGATCGAACGGTTTTAAGGCAATATTTTGTAAACTTTGTCACACTCAGAATACGATACCTCTTTTCTACTGTGAGGTGTCCTAAAAACCCTTTCAACTCATTATTTGATGGTTCTTCTACCAATCATAGCCCTAAAATATGTTGTTTTGAAAAGTTAGCAAATACATGCACTTATTGGGAAATGATGTAAATTCTGTCACATTATATGGAATTTAAAATTTTGGATGAATTGCCGAAATCATTTATATCTGATTTTGGTTTGGAAGGCGGGAAAACTGTATATAAGGACGATGCACGGATAGAGCTGATTCATTTGAGGGCAGTTGATGTAAGAATTGTCACAATAATAATAAGGGCAGTTGATATGAAAGAAAATCGATCTAACTAATGCAATGGCTGATGTGACGAAATTTACATTTCTTGACCCTATTTTGAAGAAACATGTCTCGATTAGAATTCAATATTCTTCCAGGAATTATTAGTAGGTTATTATTCAGCAGATCATCAAGTTTGACAATTCTGAGTTTAATTATACGTAACTTACACAAGTTACCGAAATGTGACGAAATTCAATTTTCCTGCCCCAAAAGTATAATTTCAATGTAATGAAAAATGGGCATGGGTTTCTATATTTCCTTTATCTCTGAATTAATCATTTCAAACTGTAATTAGGACTGTTGATGTGAAAGAAAATGTATCTAAATTTTACAATGACGTATGTGACGAAATTTACATTTCTTGACCCTATTTTGAAGAACCATACCCCGATTAGAATTCAATATTCTTCCAGGAATTATTGGTAGGTTATTTTTCAGCAAATCAGAACTCAAGTTTAACAATGCTGAGTTTGATATCACTAATTTACCGAAATGTGACGAAATTTACTTTTCCTGCCCCAACAGTATAATTTCAATGTGATGAAAAATGGGCATGGGTTTCTATATTTCCTGTATAAATCCATTCCAACTATAATAAGGGCAGTTGATATGAAAGAAAATCTATCTAACTAATGCAATGGCTGATGTGACGAAATTTACATTTCTTGCCCCTTTTTTGAAGAATCATACCTCAATTAGTATATAATGTTACTTTATCACCATCACTATGTCGATAAATTAGTTATTTTGCCAACACGGAGCAAATAAAGTTATAATATTTTTTTGTGACGAAATTTACAAATTTTTACCCTGTTCAGGTGTTGAAATTTATCCAATGTTAACATATCACTGCCATATAATAATTTATATGACCGGCGTATGGTTGAAATATTGTTAATTGATCCATAGTACGTAATATAGGGTGTTTAAGTTGGTATACTAATATTTACTCAATTTCACACATGTTGAGATATCATACAAATTTATGTGACTAAATTTACCTATTTCTGCCTTCTGTATTTGTATTTGCCTATAACAATGAAATATGTGAACAATTCCAAACACATTCAGCTCACAAAATAATGCTAGACTATTCGGCATTTCTTGTCAGGATGTCATAAACATCCCTCATATAAATTTCTTAAATGTGTGACGGAGTTTACATGGTGCTACCATTTAAGGCAAAAAGTCGCTAAATATGTAGATAATAGTCATATACAGCTATTCTATGAATTGGAAATTCGAAAATTTGGTCAAACACGGTAACAAGGGGTCCATATAAACTCTGTCACGTTTTTATAGTGTGACAAAGTTTACAACTCACTGCCGGCCGCATTTAAGCGATATCTTATCATCTGATAAAGATATCGTTATGCAACAAAGTTTATCTAGAGGATGAAACGATTATCTTAGGGTTAGAGGGTTTATATAGTTTCATAGTGTGACACATTTTACATCATCGTGCCATTCAGTAGGGTCATTAATATTTACCAATATCCTCAAACTTCAATGAACGTGTCCATATACCTTACTATATACCTTACTACATACCTTACTACATACCTTACTACATACCTTACTACATACCTTACTACATACCTTACTACATACCTTACTACATAATTACTACATACCTTACTACATACCTTACTACACCTGTATATCTTACTATATAAGGAGGGTGCCTGTCCTTTTCTGATATTCCTGACAATTCAAGATGTATATAAATCTATAGAATTACCCTCATAGAAGGTTTTGCTGAACTGGGGCTAGCTGAGCTTGTAATTTAATATTGAGGCATATTATTCAATATTATAACTTAACACTATGATATTACAAGACATTGTGTGTAATGTGTATAAGGTCACATGTGTATAAACTAAAGTTACTCAATTTCAATCCGTAGAGGGATTGAAATCCAGCTTGCCAATCATTCATTTGCCAAGATTCACCTTCTTTTGTTAAAAATAATCAAATATCGATAACTTATAGTATTGAAAGTCAATGCATTATCAATTTGCTATCTGATAATAATAATAATAATGAACTTTCTGTAAATATTTTTTCCTAATTTAAAAAAAAATACTACTTTCCGATGTTTTTGATACATAACATCATGAAAAACGTGTGATTCATAGTTACGAGTATGTCGATTGTCGATCTTATCTCACACAACGATACCAAGTAGTTATCTGATTAAAAAATTTAAAAAACAGTCGATGGTGCAAGAAGTTGTGGTATTAGATGTTTACCAGTGACCAATCAGTGAGGTCAGTGTGAGTGACACAAGTCACCATCGAGGTGCTGGTAGCCGAATATCCGGAGAAAACTTTGATGGAAGGAAAATTATGAAAATTTTCTACCGGTAGGACATTTTCAAATTTCAGCTTTCCAAGACCCAAATTTCACTGTTTTGACTCAATTTTTCTTCAATGACCATTTAATGAGTTCACTGAGAATGGCACAACTCACAAGACACAATTGAAGCACAAGATCTGGATAAAGTTCATTGTTTTATACAGGTTACAGCCAGCGGCATAACGTTGCATGTTGAACAAACTCGTAAAGCCATGCGGAATACAATGAAACGAAAAGTTTTCAATGAAACGAAAAGTTTTATTTTACATTCCTTTAATCATAAATAAAATAAGAGCTTAAACCACGAGCTAGTCAGCTAATAGTAAACTTGAGGAAATATTTTTGGTGATTGTATATAATTATTTAAAAACTTTATTTGGTTGTTAGTATTTTTATTATGGTAAGTGGTTGAATTTAGTGAGACAAGGTCAGTTTCTCTATTATCTTAGAAAAATTTCTACTTTACAGTAGGCAATGCTGAGTGGCAGGAATGAGGGACCAAAACGCTTGGGGCTTACAATGGCCCATTTACAAACCACTTCAGACATGGCAAATATGGGCAATAATGTACACGTCTAGAATATATGATCTTTTCATGAATGATAAGATTTACTCAACTAAATTCTCATAAAATTATACTTGATGCTTTTATTGCAGATCTAGCAGAACTTTTAAAAGACCCTTGTCAAATGTGGAGATTTTGGTAAGATCTGAGATAATATAGTGAAGCCAAATAAAAACGATGGCTGTCTGATCGAGTGTGAAATATAAAATCATGAACTCAAAATGTTTATCTAACGTCATCAATGGAGAGATTCTAACTTTCATAATAAAGAAATTGATTATTCTTCACAATACCACATTCATGATATTGAAACTTCAAGAAGCTCTCATTTGGTGGATATACTCAATATTTTCATCAAACTGTGGGAAAACTACAAGTTTGCGATAGTACAACTTTTACAAAAAGATTATATGTCTACTATGTCTAATGTCTATGAGCAGAGATAAATGCATATTTCAGTGGCACAAAAAAATTCTGATGCACGAATTCGAAGAAATGCTACGATATAAGAGGCAGCAGTTAAGAAACTTTAAGATTCAACATCACAGTATTACACACTGGCTTAAATACAAGCATTAAAATGAAAAGCTTGAATAAGCATGATTGTATAATGTATACATACCAATTTATTTTAGCATAATTTGTCAACTACACAATCAGACCTTAACAAATTTCATATTAGAGATTCGATAGCTGAGATCAAGCAAGCAAGTAACTGAATTATAAGACGTAAACTATAATCAGAAACATGAACCAGACAAATTATGAAAGGTCACTTTCACCTACTTATATATTTAATACTAGTTTCCTCTAAATTTAAAAAAAAAAAAAAAAAAAAAAAAAAAAAAAGGGGGGACCCCCAACCCATGTAGCTGAGACACCTCACAGCAAGTAGACCAAAGTGGCTCTTGCTTGTGAAAGGTGTATCAACTACCCGCCGAGGCGGTGGGTTGGGAGTCCCCCCTGGGATCATTTCGTCCGTAAAATTTTACACAATATAAAAGCTACAATAAATTATCTATACAATTTACATAAACAAACTTAAGAGAGCTCAAAGCTCGTCTTCTGAGGAATGAGATTGAAGGATACGTCATCCAGTCCAAGGTGCTGGGCTTTTTGTCTTCCTCTGATTCCCCTGAGTGCTATGAGTGTGCTTTGTAGCAGATCAAACCTGAATCGTGTTCTGATGTGATTTTTGACCTGGCTCTTAGCTTCTTTATTGTGGTCAGCTATCCTTTCAGAAATACGATCTACAAACACAGTGCAGAGTGGGCCCATACCTCCGGATGTTGTAAAGACTAGTGGGACAAAGGACCCCTTCTCTGACTGAAGTACTCTCTCCTCATAGAGATCTTTCTTCTCTTTCTCATGCGCACTGTAGATTTTATCTAGTGGCTTAAATGTATTTGAGTCACAATTCGGATGAGTGACCCTGATGTCAAAGAATGTTCTTTCGAATGGTGCATACAGTCCAACACAGTGGCGTAACAACCGCCCCTGCTAACCCTGCTAGCAGGGGGGCGGCACCTTAGGGGGGCGGCATTTTCCTGGATTGTAGGTCTGATTTCACGGAAAAAGCGCCTTATTGGTGTACTACCCTGTCGAATTTAGCGTTCAGTCGACGTGAAAAAAATATTTGGGGTTCCATTGTTGCTTCAGGGGGCGGCAAAAAGGTGTAGGGGGCGGCAAAAAAAGTACCCGACCTTTTTTTTTTTTTTTTTTTTTTTTTTTTTTTAGGACACAAAATTTTAGGGGCGGAAAAGGGGCGGCAAATTTCAATCAGCAGGGGGGCGGCACAAAGTAACGTTACGCCACTGGTCCAACAGCTGCTCCTCTAAATTAGTATAACTTTGAACTTCTAACAACTGAATAAAAATGAGGGAGCTAACAAAATAATTACTGTACAAAAATGATCTTTTAGTATCGATGATAGTAAGAACAAAGGTAGCACAAGTAGAATCAGGACGGATACTTGATCATGTGAAAAGCAACAATAATAAGCTTGTCTGTGCTGAAGGGTACCCTTATTAAATTCCAGATCACTTAGCAGATTTTCTCCTCATTGAATGATAAATGTTTGATCGGAGGATAAATTCATTTCAAATGACGAAGGACCCAACACTGCCGGCTGCCAAAAGATCTGGAATCTTGTAGGGGTACCCTTCAGGTACCTTTAATACAGATTAATACACTGTTATGTAGACCTAAAGTTATGTAGACCTAAAGACTGTAGCACTGCACAGTTTTTAGGTCTACATAAGTATTGTATATATAATAAGAACTATTCAGTGACTATGATGAGGAACTCAATTCTGTTAAGAATAATTTCATGGTAGCGCTCGATTTTTCTCGCCGATTTTTTGAATACGCGGCGGCGCGAAAAATTTATTTTTGAATCGCTTTAAAAACTTGTTTTAGTAATGTTAAAATATAAAATAACATTACCAAACAGCAATCAGATATAAAGATTTTTTGGGTAATTTTTCTCAAAGGAGATGTAGGAGCCAAATTAATTTTTACGCGCAAAAAAACTTTTTTAAAGATTTTTTGAAAATTTGACGAAGTAACATTGCATTGTCAATTTGGTTATTTCATTGATATCAGCATGTACAGCGTATCAAAAATATTAATTATTAGCAACCAGAATATAAACCTTTTATTTAAATTTATTCATTGAAATTTCCAAAAACATCAAAAACGGTTTTTTCGAATTAGAATCGTATCAGTGGTCAAAAATACGTTTTTAAAGATGTTCATGTTGACGGATGCTGCTTTAATCTCGAGGCTACGAATTAGCGCGCGCCGCGCCGGGTAAATATATCAACAATGGACACATATTAAATTAGGTTGTGCTCTGGGTATCGAGCAAAAAATCCCCGGCCCCGCGGGCCCCGTAACAGCTTTTACTGTATATATTGACAAAAATCTGTTGAGAGTAATTCAGTTTCGAATTGAAAAATTATTGTACCACGTTGTGACCCCCACGGTGGTTTCACTACCCCTGTAGAGTTTCTACGATACAGGGGAGCCGCGCACTCGTGCGCGGCGGGTCATATTGTCAAGAAAACAACAATTTCAAGAAAACAACAATTTTATTTAGTATCAATTAAAGCAGACAAAAATATATTTCATATAATATATATAACTAGCACGAACTTTAGATCAGATATCTTAGGGGACTTGGAGTAGCAAGAGATTGACTAAAAGGTATATAACTTTTACAAAGATACGTCGAGAAGAATCCAGGGTGATACAGGATCGGAGAGTGCAGACCAAAAGTTTACGCACCCACCTTTGCCTCCTGAGTTCTTGGTTGGGTAGAAATTTATGCAAACTTGGTCGTTTATACTCCAAGTCCCTTTCTTAAAAGAAGTAGTATTAACTATGTCTAGAGTTAGCTTCGTTCAATAATAACAATATCAATATAATCAATATCAATACCAGATAAACCTACCGAATAGATTATTAAATATCAATTAATTCATTCCGATAAAAAATTTTATAGATTCAGATATTTAACTTATCTAAAAACATTACAACAAATGTTTAAAAAGCGCCCAAAATCGATTTGAAAGATTTTCTGTCTATAGTACAATCATGAGTATTGTAGCGCGATGCGTTACTGTGCCACGCCGCGCACTCAATGAGGCTTCTCACAGCGACATTGGCTAGATCGGCGAGATGCGCTACTTTGCCGCGCCGAGCTGCCCTGAATTGACATCGTCAATTAAAGAAACTGCACTGCTAACTGCTGTTAACTGCTGCTATAACTGCTGCTAACTGCTGCTATAACTGCTGCTAACTGCTACTAACTGCTGCTAACTGCTGCAAACTAGAACTGCTGCTGTCGCGCGCGCCGTTAGCAGCAGTTAAAAAAAGCATTTTTTTTTGCTATTTTTTTTGCATTTTTTTTGTGTATGGAACCCATTGGAAAGGGCATTTTTAGATGTAAGAGTATTTCATGCTCAAGCTCCTTCCAATAAGGCTCTTGGATCTCCAACCACTATGTACAATAGCCACGAGAGACAGAAAAAGAATTTACACAATAAAAGGATTGTAGAAGTCGAACATGGGACGTTTACACCGATAGTCCTATCAACCACTGGGGGTATGGGAAGGGAAGCTAATAAGTTCTTCAAGAAGTTAGCGGATAAACTATCTAGGAAATCAGGCCAACGATATAGTGAGGCAATGACATTTATTAGGAAGAGAGTAAGATTTGACCTATTGAGAACAACAATCATAGCTCTTAGAGGAGAGAGAGGGTTTAAAAGTAGTAGTGCAATAAAAATAGCAGAATTAGATATAAATTTGGAGCCAGTTCTTTAAACTGGCTTACTTATACTACTTAAAGGGTGTTCAAGGGTTTTCTATTGAATTTATATTGAATTTTATATAGGGTAATTGTTATATTATGTGTATATTGTTTGAATAATTTTTATTTTTTAATATTTTTTTTTGCTACTGGCTTAACAAATTCATGGGACGCAATAATATAGTTGGTATGCAAAGCATTTCGAAATTAGATAAATAAATACAAATTAAGCCTTTTCAGTCACATGCTATGCAAATGCATGTTTTAAACTTTGGCAAATAAATCAAAGCCTGACATTTAATTGTGTGTTTCCCTTTGTGTCTAAATGCAATGTAAAGTAAATTAACTTTTCTTTTTTTGGTGCAGCACTTGTAGCGCGATGCGTTACTGTGCTAGATCGGCGAGATGCGCTACTGTGCCGCGCCGAGCTGCCATGAATTGACATCGTCAATTAAGTGCAGCACCTACTGACTTGACTCGAAAGAGCAAGCGACTCAATAATACCAAAGAGTCCTACTGAGTCTATCCTAAGATAGGTATATTGGAAGTCGTGAAAAGCCCACGGCGGCATGTTGCAGGTATAGGGTCTCTAGAGGAGCTGTCCATATACCGCATAAAGAGTATAGAAGTAAGATTCTTTTATTGACACTAATGCTGCCTCGCGAGGTGCAATGCGGACAGACATAAGCCCTGGAAGAACCAGCAAAACCTGACAAGGATTCTCACCCTGTAAAGTAAATTAACTGTATTCATGTACTGTGTCAGCAGGAAGTTTACATCATTCTCTATCTTGAGTAAGAAGATGAGCTGGAACGAATTTTTGTTAAAGTTGTACGCAGTAAATGCGTGCTTGTAGATGCATGCACCAAATATTGCGAAAACGCCTGCATACGTATTAAATTGGATGTGCTTTTGGCGGAGATGTAACCTGGGCCTTTGGCTTATCATAATTTAATTTGACAGAAGCTAAAGGAAGGCAGCTCAAAAGGCCCAGTGCACTATCGACAAGATCAAGGACTCTAGTGCCAATATTGACTTTTCCGAACTCCTTTTCACCGATTGGCCCTGTGTGATCTCAGTGGTCCCAGTGAGCTGCACCCTACTGCTAAACGTCACATGATGATTTGTGTTTTAATGCTTATTAATTTAAACGATTATCCAGTTGATATAAAATATGACTTTTACTGTGGCCACAATGTGTGCCCCCATATGGAGAATAGAGCCCACGATGGCCACAGGTATCAGATCTCCAAGAGTCCAGACAGGCGTTAACATAGTGCTATACTTTGCTAGATACTATATTTTAATGTTGAGTAGAGACAATTCGCATTCATTCAATGAAAAACTTGGGCTTAAAAATTACAAGCTGCTTCACAATCGTTAACTATGAAGGCATCGACTTGTTTTCAAATTTGACAGAGACAAATGCACTTCTGTTTCATATTTTTTACTGTATTAAGCAATTGATTTATTGTAAACTTTGCCATCTTTCTCCTTTGCATTGTGGGGTGAGAACCCCCTGCCACCTCTACAAAAATACCTGAAATCTCCAATATACCAATAAGTCTTGCAGAACTAAGGACAAGGGGAACTTCTGGATCCACCTTAACTGGTTGGATGTTTTTCAGTTTTTAAAAAATTGTTCAAACTTCTGAATGGTCCATTATATTGAAAATATCGCTTAATTTAATTTTATGCAAATCTAGGTTTTCAGCATGTCAGTTGTCGAATCGGACTACTTAAAAAGGTGGATTGGTGCCCCAATTACTGATGCTTTAACAGAAGTTGCTTTGAAACGACCTGCTGACCCGATAGAGTATATTGCACTTTGGCTGCTTAAATATAAAGAAAACGAAGTTGTAAAAGCCGCGGTAGGTCTAAGTAGTAATTGTGTATGAAAACTATTTTCGGGTGAATTTCATCATTTATTATACCGCTTTTATCAAATAAATCGTCTGTGAATATATTTAGAGTTAATTGACAATTATTAAACTCTACAGGAAGCATCCAATGCAGAGAGATTATCTATCGAGAAAAAGAAGTTAGATGAAGAGGCTAAGAAGAAAGCTGAGCTGGAAGAAGAACAAAGAAGGATTGCGGCAGAGAATGCTGCCAAAAAGTGAGATGTTGCAATATTGATTTTGAATTATTATGTGTGCTAATAGTCTTATATAAAAAATGTTTATTTAGCCGTTAAAGTTGATATAGGCAGATACATAAATAAATTCAATATTATAGGTGACTAAATCACATTCTAATGTATATTGTACAGCTCCAATTGATTTTTAAAAAACTATCATTTCAGGGCTGAAATCGAGAAAGCTTTAGCAGAACAAGCCAAACAAACAGAAGCTGCAGCTGTATAGCCATTTAGCCAGCAATCAGTGTTACCAGTAACACACTTCTTTTGTCACTTCAACATGCTGATCAGAGCAACTTCTCATTTTGGACAGTTCAACATTTAACAATACGAACATCTATTAGTTACTGTTGTATAAAGATTGTAAATAATAAATGAGAATGAACCACCTTATTCTAATGTATCCTCTTCACTTGGTGCGGTTACAACCAGATTAACTGGGATTCTTAGGGGAAGACAAACTGTAACTGAGACAAATTTTATTTTTCCATACATGATGGTTTTGTTTTACTCTAAACATGTGTTATTAGACTGTAATCTAGTTTTGCAATAAGTGAAGTTAAAACAGGATGCAAAACATTTGGGCATCTAGCAATATAAGAATATGTTATAGTGCTCCTGCATTCTGCAAATATATAGACTTATATAAAAATTACAAATGTAAGCACTATACTTCACTAGAGATGATCCCAACTGACGTGTTAAGTGATTTACTTACTCATCTGTCTCTACTTGATCTCATGGAATGTTCCGGAGTATGTCTGAGTTGGAGAGATTCTGCACTTCATGAAATATTCAGGAGAACTAACCAGTCTTTATCTGATATGATTAGAAAACACAAGAATCTCAACAAGTCTATCCTACTGAAAACACTTTCTAAGACTAACAAGAAATTCTCCGCGAAAGCTCTCTTCCAAAAGATAAGATTTGACTCAGCCCTTATCTCGGGAGATACATCTAAGCTTACTTTTGCAAGTGACTTCGATCTGTACCCTTCGTTGTGTATGTCAATGAGGTGGTACTCGTTCCCAATAAATTTGAAACCAAAAGATCTGACAGAGTACAGATGGTGTCTCACTACCCCTCTTTTCTCTCAAAAACAGAAAGAGAAGCAGAAAGAGAAAGGTAAAAACAAACGAGACACTCCCAGACAGTTTTGTGTGTCACGTGGTTCTCGATTCCACATTCCATGGTCGGACAGGGCGGCTCCTGTAATAGTGGACAAACTCATCTCAATTTACAACATAGGAACAACAGTTATAGCGGTGTGGAACGATTATAGAACCGTAGCATTTATCGTACACTCTCAACCTTTATCACTGAGATTACTGGCGAATTGCTTCCATCTCAAACTCCCTAAGAAGACAATTAGTCAAAGTGAAGGGTTGGAAAGTTTCGGGATCACTGCTCAATTAACATTACGGAACTTTAAACGTGTGTTTGTTCACGAAGTTTTCAACAATTTGTTCTACGAGGAAGACAATGTTCTCCGGGGCTGGGACAAACTTGTTTTGCAGAATATATCCCTGGAGAAGGGTTTCAGTTTGCTCTGGAAGAGTGATTACTTTAAAGGCAAGATACCTGGATGCTGTATAGTTGAGTTAGTTTTAAAACACAGTAAGACTTTTACACCTGATAATTTGTGGGATGTAAGTAAGTATTCCTTGTCTCAATTATGCAAGTTAGAACCACTGCCTGATCAGTATAAAGATAAAATGCCCTTCGATTATAGCCCGGACAGTAGTTTTGTCTTCAAAGCTAGCAACAAATTACTTTCTGTTGAGATAATTCTTTGTTTTGATGAGTTTAGGGATGAGCTTATTTTTCATGATATGAGTATTTCCATTGCTAAGTAAAAAAACTGTAAATATTTATCACACTCATTATTGTTTTATTGTATTCTAATAGAAAGTTGCAATGATTTATATTGTGCGTCCGTCCATATTCCTATCTATAACTTATTATTACATTTACAAGAAGTTGATTAAAGTTAAATATTAATTATCTGAAGCTGAGGTAATGTTTGTTAGATGTGATGAGTAAAGGTAAAGCTACACGCTCCTCTACCGCCACCTCCTCCACCCCTGCCCCAGCTCCCACTATTTCTAATGACATCCTTACTGGACGCTTCACTGAGCACGAGTGGTAATTCCTTCTTGTCATTTTCATTTTAACGCTATCGTATTTATTGTATTGTGTAAAGATAAGAAATTAAATGGCTGAGAAATTAATTTTAGATTACAGTGAGCTAAAGCTGATTTCTAGATATTGCTAACTAAATATTTCTAGATATTGTTTACTAAATATTACTAGATATTGTTAACTAAATTCAACAGGAAATAGTCTTGTGCTCGAGAACACTGCCACCAAACAGTATTTATGCCTTGTATTATAAGCTATAACTTGTTCATTACAGGAACACCCTGACGGATGTGGAGGATGGAGAGGAACTAGTATTTGACCTGATGGAGACGGTTGTTAACGGCGTGCTGAATGTTATTCATGAGAAACACATGGAAACAAACCTCATTCCTTTCTCTCTAGACTGGGCTGAAAATATCATGGTAAACATTACACATTTTACACATATCATGGTAAACATTACACATTTTACACATATCATGATAAACATTACACATTTTACACATATCATGGTAAACATTACACATTTTACACATATCATGGTAAATATTACACATTTTTAGTGACTAAAAATATTTACCCAAATAATTATTTAAAATTTAGTTTAGTAGAGATGATGCACTCCAAAATACTATGTACTTATGAAACATTGCATTTGTTCAGGAGAAGCTAATTGACTGGCAGTTCCTTACACACGACTCCGGGGAGAGTAAGAGTGAAGCTAATAACTGGCTACCGGACCAAGGTACTTACCTCTGTAGTCTGTACTTACCTCTGTAGTCTGTACTTACCTCTGTCGTCTTAAGTCAGCATTCTTTTAAATTTCTCAAAACATAAATTCCTTGATTAAAATTATTAGTATTTTTGTTTTTATTCTAAATTTAAAAGCAGAATATTAACAGAAGCAGCACGTGTACCACTAGACTCGTGGGGTCGAGGTTGTGTTCCGAGTAGAATAATCGAGGAGATAATTGAAGAGCAAGACAACACCTCAACGGTAGAACTGGTTAAACAGATGGACACTGACTCTCTGCAGCATGAGTATGTTACCAACTCTATACGGACCTTTATTTTGATTATCTGTTTATTTTATTTTGTTATGTGAGCTCCTTAAAGTAACATGATAAATTTTCTAATAATTATTTTATAAGCAGGAGTAGTGGAGAGGAAACTTCAGACCGTGAGGACCTAGAGAGTATCAAGAGGAACCCCGACCTTCACAAGCTCAACCAAGTAAGCCTGCATCCTGTGAAACTTTAGTCACAGTTCCAGTCAATATATTGAACGAACTTGCTTGTACGTGATCTGAAATCATTTTTACTTGGGAGGACTGGTGCATGTTTATTACTCATTTTAACATGGTCACTCTCTTTTTTAGCTACGTGAACAGTTGAAGTACTACAAGATAAGTCTAGATGACATCGCAACCCTGGAAAAGATAGACAAGCCCTCAGATACACTTCATCTTCTTTATCAAGTACTGGGAGTTATCCAGGACCAGCCTGATAAAGACTATGAGTACAGTGTGGCGGTAGCTAATCTAGAAAAAACCAAGAAGTTCATCGAGACGTTCGGACCACGCCCCTTATCAGAATCTACTATGGCTCTACTTAAACCGTGCGTTCATCATCACTATTATTATTATAAAACTAAATAACTAAATACAGCAAACACGAGAAATACATCAAGTGGTCTAGTAGTCACGCATTCTTCATACTAATCCATACTACTCTGTTATGTGCCATGTGAACCAGATTGTCAAAATCAGTCAATCTTAAAATTGTATTACTATTTCTCTTTGAAAGGTCCTTTATTAACAGATCATACAAATTGGTGCGATGAGCTCCTACTCTTCCTTTATAGTCCTTACACAAATCTGAATGATAGGTAGGCAGGGGTGCTTTCACCACTCCTTAATACATGTAACGTGCCCAAACATTTCTAGCCTCCGCGATCCTCTCAGTCAGCGGTCTCACTTTACACCGTTTATAAAAGTTCTCGTTACCGATGACATTGGGCCAGAAGATCTTCAGGGTCTGTCTAAGATGTTTTCTCTGAAGGAGTCTAGATCTTTCTTAGGGGCCGCGCAACAGCTACAGTTATATAATAGGACGGATGTTACCAAGGCTTCGTATAGTCTGAGCTTTCTATACTCACTGATCTTAACACTGCTGTCAAGTCAGAGGTTCTTGTAGGTATAGAATGCCACGTTAGCCTTGTTGTATCTGTTGGTAATGTCCTTTTCTGAGCATAGCTTGGAACTTCTTACAAATACCCTATAATTTCTCTCCTATTTTGTTATAACATTTCCCCAGTTTGTTATACAGATTTTCCCCAGTTTGTTATAAAGATGTCCCCCAGCTTGTTATAAAGATGTCCCCATCTTGTTATAAAGATGTCCCCCAGCTTGTTATAAAGTTGTCCCCTAGTTTGGTATAAAGATGTCCCAGCTTGTTATAAAGATGTCCCCCAGCTTGTTATAAAGATGTCCCCTAGTTTGGTATAAAGATGTCCCAGCTTGTTATATTGATGTCCCCCAGATTGTTATAAAGATGTCCCCAGCTTGTTATAAAGATATCCCCCAGTTTGTTATAAAGATGTCCCCCAGCTTGTTATAAAGATGTCCCCCAGCTTGTTATAAAGATGTCCCCCAGTTTGTTATAAAGATGTCCCCCAGCTTGTTATAAAGTTGTCCCCTAGTTTGGTATAAAGATGTCCCAGCTTGTTATATTGATGTCCCCCAGATTGTTATAAAGATGTCCCCAGCTTGTTATAAAGATATCCCCCAGTTTGTTATAAAGATGTCCCCCAGCTTGTTATAAAGATGTCCCCCAGCTTGTTATAAAGATGTCCCCCAGTTTGTTATAAAGATGTCCCCCAGATTGTTATAAAGATGTCCCCAGCTTGTTATAAAGATGTCCCCCAGTTTGTTATAAAGATGTCCCCCAGCTTGTTATAAAGATGTCCCCCAGCTTGTTATAAAGATGTCCCCCAGTTTGTTATAAAGATGTCCCCCAGCTTGTTATAAAGATGTCCCCTAGTTTGGTATAAAGATGTCCCAGCTTGTTATATTGATGTCCCCCAGATTGTTATAAAGATGTCCCCAGCTTGTTATAAAGATGTCCCCCAGTTTGTTATAAAGATGTCCCCCAGGTACATGGATAACATAATCCTACACCCTGATCACGTGACTCAGTTAGCGAGTCCAGCAACTCGTGGTTTATCTACTTGGTTGCACACTGCCTACACTTATCAGACTCTTTGTAACGTTCTCAACGTGGAAACTAGTATTGACTTCAGGTTACCGGACACTATTTACATTTTCTTATTATCTGTTGTTAACATTAGTTTTATTGCTGCATTCCCACAAGTTTTCTGTAAGAATTGCTTGACGATCTGAGATTGTAAATTAGGCAAATTGCAACAGTGATATTTTTGTAATTTTCATACTTTTAATCTCCGATTCAGATAAATTATTTCGTACTCACCATTTCTAACATTGCTAATTACAATAATTACAATTGTCAGGATTCTTAAGAGCAGTATAATAGAACTAAAGAGTCTTTCTAAGCCACCTGTTTATGTGAAAGATGTCATGTGTGCAGTTATTACACTTCTTCATGGCAAGTTCATGTGAGTTTTATCTAGTAAAGATAGCAGATTTCGTTGCTCAACCTTTTTATGAAGAAACGGTTCCACGGAATTCGGATTGCAATAAACTCACATTCGCGTAGTTGATTACCAAAACATCATGAAAATGTGGATTTCATCGATAATTGTGAACTTGTTTCAGAAAGGACTACACACAAGCACAGAAGGGGTTCGCAGACCAATCCAAATTGCTGGACCATTTGGACTCATTCGACTGTACGAAACTTAGTCAGAAGTTTATTGCAAAGTTTAAGAAAGAGTTCATGACTCATACCACCGCTGAATTGAAGTGTGTCAACGTGGGGTGTAGTTTTCTCTACCAGTGGTGTGAAGATCAGGTAAAACCATTAAAATTCTTACAATCTAGTGATATTTACGATAGTATCTACGCTACAAATTTTAAAACGTGAATACTTTAACATTAACAGTAATTGTCTTGTCATTACAACCATTTCTATTCTTATCTTCTACCTGTATCTGTTGATGCTTTAATTATTATTGTCCTCAGATTACTGATTTACAAATCCTGTTGACTTTCTTGTGTGGTTGCTTAAATCAAATAATCGCAGATATACGGCAGTGGGTCAATAATTGTTCGACCTCCCGAGAAACCAAAACAGAGGAAAGTCAGAAGAAGGATTAAAGTGATCGAACATGAACCGGTAATGTGGGACATGAAAAAGTCAACCATTCTCGCTGTTATTATATCTGTTATCTTAAAATAAAGTTTGCAATATCTTATGTTGATTACATTAACTGAAATATTGTACTTAGCATTTAAATAACTGGTGTTATAGTTCCATCATTAGATGATTCATGTATAATGGAGCCGCTCCGAAATTTTATTGGGGTATGAATACTTTTTTCATTGTATAACGATACTTATCTTTCAGGAAGAAGAAGAGATGAGTCAGATTTCCGAATTAGGCTCTGGCTCAATGAATAACATGATGCCCCACCAATCAGCGGCTATCGTTAAAGTAATATAATCTTTACTTTGTGTAACTCCATCGTTCACTATTATTGATATGTTGTCATTGCCATCATATGTTTCAGTATAAACAGTGCGACCCTAATTTTAAATTTAATAACTTCACATTTAAACCTAACGATAGAGTCTACTGGTATTGCTAGTTTTGTTCGCCGTTGTCATGGTAACAAACGCTAATTTACATTTAAAGTTTATATTGTCATCGTTAAAAACGCGCGCTCTGTGTATATTATGTTGCGCGCGCATTAAATGCTTCGCTTTTGCCTTATAGCACCATATCAGCCAGATTGTACTGTTATTATTATTACTGATTATATCACTGATTTAGAAAATTGAAACTAAGTTTACTTGTTTTTATAAGAACTTCTATCAGGCACAGCAAGGGAGACCCCCTGGCAAGAAAGAAGTGCAGTATGACGATAAGGGAAATGTTGTCTCTGTTCTGAAGATTAAGAAATTACCGACAAACAGGTACACTGGATTTTCCCTAGAAAAGCGTATTTTGATTTCAAGGTCAAACTAGTTGTTTAATTGCTACCAAAATGGCATTTCATTTGAATCGAATAATATTTTTCTTCTCAGGGTAAAAACTACTTACGAGATACTCGACTCGTCAACGTTGACCAGTAAGAAGAACAAATTAAAGCCTTTGAAAGGTGCACCATCGGTAAGAATATGATATATTTGAGTAGAGTTATCGTTTGTTTCATCCGCTGCGAGGTTGCAAATATTTATATTGATCAACAGGAGTTCTTCGTTAATTTCTTCGTTATCAAACCCTATTTTGACATCACACAGTTTTGTTATGTTTCACGTTTTTGTTAAATCCGGATTGGAGTGTTGTTTATGAGTCGCATAGTTGCAATGTATTCTTGTGTAAATTTGTATTGATCCCGTTTGATGTGACAAGGAATTAAGAAAAATGCTCTTATCAGGAAAGGAATTTACTCAACGTTTCAATGTTACAACATCGTATTCATTATCTCAAATTATTTTTTATAATACAGTAGTGTTGAAAGTATTAAAACAGTTTTAATAATTTTTCGTTCTTGTTCTTTCAACCATTTTTATACTCTTAAAGCAATGGATGGAAAAAAATTGTAGAGATTTCTAAAAAGTGTTTCTAAAAACAACACTCTCAGATTAAACGAGGTGGGAGTACGAGTTTTCTGTACGAAACCCAGGATCACACTCCCGTACCCCCGAGCTTCGTAAGTAGGGGACCATGACCTCGTACCTCCTTGCTTCTTAACCCTATTAATTAACACCATTTTCGTTTGATCCCCATTTTATCTGATATTAATTTATTCCCGGTCTAATGAACAATGAACATGACCAATATTTACAGGTGGACGCAGTAACAGCTTCTCCCGGGGTAGTTATCAAGCAGGGCTCTAAAATTAAGCGTGGCCCAGACAGCGTTGTTCTCAGCCCGATAGAGCAGAATAACTTATCTCGTTTCCAGAATGTTCTCACCTCCTAATATACATTCTTAGAGACCACACACTTACTATTTAAGTCGCCAAGTAAAGTCGGAAAAGTACTGTTTAATGAATCAACCGAGATTACTGAAAGACGCAAAACCTTTTTCTCTTCTTCTATGACACAACTATACTTGTGGTCGATTTTAATATGAAAATCATTTCACTTACAGAGTTAGTTGAAAAATGAAAAGTCGAATATTTTAAGCAGTCAGAGCTGTGTAGACCTCTTACAGAGTGTTCGGGCTTAAATTTTTATTTGTGTCTAGTTTAATTTATATTGTACAAAGTTGTTGCAATAGTGTTAGGTAAGTTCGTTTTATCAAATTTTATATCATTTGTCTTGTCTGTTTATTATTAAATAATGAATACAAAGATAGTATTTTTTACTAAGCACCAGAATAGAGAATGGTGACAAAAATCTATGTTTCCGGTAAAATGATAAACTTATGGTATCACTGATCATCAATGGTTTCTAAAAGTACCTACTGTACTGCATGCAATTGATAATACAAATAAGCCGGAAAGAACGACCATCTGCATCAGTATAGACAAGTGTACTCATCTCCGCCGTATTGCTTCGATATGCAATAATATAAACGCAACGTTATTACGGGTGATTGGCGCCACGTCGATCTCACTTCAAATAACACCCGTTACTTTGATTGCCTAACCCTAATCCTAACCTTAACCGGTAACCCTAACCCTAACCAATGACGAGACTGGGGTGGGTCCATTTTAGTGTTTAATTTCTCACCCTGACGTAGAGCCGTGAGCCGGCTAGCCGACGGCAATCGGCTGGCTAAGAGAAAAAATCGGCTGGCTAGCCGGCTAAGCCGGCTAAAACTGGGAATGGGATTACCAGATCCTAATATCAGATATTGTACCAAAAATTTTTATTTTGCTAATATTACTATTTAATGTATTAAAATTGATTGGCTTATTATATACTTTATGTTTCTTTATACTTTATGTCGATTTTAAGGGCAAAACTTGAAATGGAAGGTAACAAGTGATACAATTTCATAACTTCAATAATAATAAGTTAGTCAATAATAAGGGGTCGTTCACATATTACGTAATCAGCCGAGGGGGGAGGGGGGTTTCCAAATGCTTACGGTTGATTACGGGGGGGGGGGGGGGGGGGGTTTGGTCGTTGATTGCGTAATCAACATTTTCTTTTTTACCCTCTAGAATAATAACAATTTGATATTTTAATTCAAATTCCACTCAATTTCACTCTGATAGTGATAAAATTTAGAAATTGATCGAATATCCGGCTATAATAGTAAGTAGTTTAGAAGTTGCTTGGCCGGATATCATAACAATGATTTCGGCTCATCATGATAGCATGATCAGGGTAGCATGAAACGTAGAGAAAAGTGTTTTCTAGGAAAAAAGTCAAGGGGGGGAGGGGGGGTCAGGCCATGATTACGTAATATTGCTGTCAGGAGGGGGGGGGGGGGGTTGGGACTTGATTACGGTTGATTACGGAAGGGGGGAGGGGGGTAAAAATTGCTAAAATATTGATTACGTAATATGTGAACGACCCCTAAGTTAGGAAATTCTCACTGGTCAGAGTCAATCTCTAATTTACTTATAAAACTTAACAAAAGATCTCTGTTACGATTAATGAGCAAAATGGCTTTTAAATTGTCTGATGAGATCTTTGATCTCCTCTTGTTTACAGTTAGCCCTGCTGCTGACCATGTTCTTTCCACATCAGCAGCGGATGCAGGAACCGAAAATATAGCGCATGCTAATTTTGAAAGAAGGGGCAATGTATCACTACGACATTTCCAAAATCTAAGAGTGTCCATCTTGGACAGAAATTTTTAGGGCACTGCAAGGCCTCATATACTTTAATTTCGTCTTTAAGACGATCCGTCTGACGGTTCTGAAATTTATGAAATTTATCTCTAAAGTCGATCATGGTATAATTTGTTACATGCCGTCTAGATTCCCGGGCTGAAGTAGAGATAAGTGATAACTACTGAAAATGTGTTAGCCGATCGGCTAGCCGATGGCAATCGGCTGGCTAAGCCGGCAATTTTAATCGGCTGGCTAAGCCGGCTTAGCCGGCTAGCTCACGCCTCTACCCTGACGGCGTTCACATATTACGTGATCAAAATTTTAGCAATTTATACACCCTCCCCCCCCCCCCCCCCCCCCCCCCCGCCGTAATCAACCGTAATCAAGACGCCACCCCCCCCCCACCCCCCCCTCCTAGCTCCTGACAGCAATAATAATATTACATAATCATGGCCTCACCCCCCCCCCCTTGACTTTTTTCCTTCGAAAAAACTTTTCTCTCCGTTTCATGCTACCCTGATCATGCTATCATGATATTGATGATCACCTTCCAAACTACTTACTTTAACAGGCAGGTACCCGATCCATTCCTCAATTTTATCACTATTTAAGAGTGAAATTTGGTAATCAACCGTAATCATTCGGGAACTACCTCTACTCCCCCCTCTACTCCCCCCTCTGCTGATAACACAATATGTGAACGTCTCCTTATATATATTAACTTTAATTAGGACGTTCGGCAAATAAAATAGGTAGGGATGGTTTTGGAATTTCGGACAAATCCGGACAGGGGGATCGGAGGGGGTGGTTTCTGAAAATCACTATTATTACTCTGTAAGTTTAGATCCCTGTATTATGCTGTATTTTTAACGAGAAGTCGATTCCCAGAGCAGCTCACGAGAGCCGAGACACAACTCGCATATTTTAAATTCTCCTACTGCCTTAAAACTTATTCGATTGGATGGCTACTTAAATACTTAAATTTAACTGTGATAAGCCTAAATAAACATTCTCGACACTAAATGTATTATTGTTTATTTTAAGTAACTACACATTTTATTAACAATGAATCTGAGTTGGTTATATTTGTACTCTTAAAAGTAGCTGGAAATCCGGATGTCCGGGGGAGGGGGTGGTTTTGAAAATTCGGACACACCCGGACTACGGCCACGGGGGGATGATCGGAGGGGGTGGTCTGAAAATCTGCGATTTTGGCGGACGCCTACTCCTAAGTAAAGGGGTTGTTCACATATTACGTAACCAGCTGAGTAGAGGGCCGGGGGTTTCCAAGTGATTGGCCAAAAGGCAGTTATTCCAACTTTAAATAAATTTAGCAGTCAGCGCAACCAAACGCTCTACGACAATTCGTTTGCAGTAATTGGACCTCAATTGTGGAACTTAATCTCACCGCAAACATGCATACTAATTAGAGACATGATCTGAACTGTTACTAGCTACTTTGTATACGTAATATTTCCAATTTGAGATATGACCTGAGCTGAACTCTACCATATTTTATTTTCATTTGATGTCGAAAAATTGGACAATAGTTTAAATGTTTAAATATAAATAACTGATATCCATATATATCCACCAGCGTGCGCTTTTTCGCATAGCGGGCTCTCACCAGCCCCCTGTCAAAGGGCCCGATATCTCTACAGCCCGCTCATGATATAGCCCGCTAACAAGTGACATTTAATTTGACCAGTAGCAATATAGCCCGGAGTTCTCTAAAATATTTTCAGTTTCTGTATCGTCTCCATGTGAAATTCCATAAGACAACAACTTACAAGTTACTTAGAACTATAGTTGAAACCGGTTTAATTCATTAACGATGAATTCAATTGCAATAATCGTACAGTGAGCTAATTAGTGTAGTTTCTGTTTCTAAATTCCCACGGCAATATGCAGTGGATGTAAAGAATGTATCAACTGTAAACTCTGATCGCTCACCCTCTATCGGACGCTATATATATCAGTTGTCACGCAGTTTGCCATGATTGGCTCATAATTAACACGTGACACTGACACACTGTTACTATGGTTACCAAATTCGTGGAGACGTCCAGACTAAATTCTAAGCCGGTGATCTCTATTATAGTATCGATAATTGTTTTGTGTTTACCATTTCAGTTGTGTTTACCATTTTCATTTCACTAGTTCAGTCGATAAATCTTGAAATGTAGGCCGAAATTTTACGTGTTATTCTATTGTGTTCCCGAAAGATATTTTGCCCTGTTTTTGTTTTGAAACTGCCATGATAATTGATGTTATGAATTTGATCTTTAACTTTCATATTAAATGTCCATGATCAGACTGTGATCTCGAGCTCTCTGGGTTACTACTTTTAAGTGTCCAGCCACTCAGTAGCTGCTACAGAAACTGTAGTAACTGGTTACCCGGGTAACCCTGGTTACCCAGGTAACTGACATGATAATGACAACTAACTTGGTAGTAGAGGGCTCTGTGGCGACTGGTGGTGCTTGTTCTGGTTCCAGGGAGGGAGAGGGGAGAGAGGTAGAGAAGTATAGAGGAAGAGTAGGAGAGAAAGAGAGGGAGAGGAGGAGAGAGGGAGATAAAGAGAGAGAGGGATAGAGGGAGAGAGGGACGTAAGGAGAGTGGGAGAAGGAGAAAGGAAGATAGGGAGAGAGTGGGATAGAGGGATAGAGGGAGAGAAGGAGAGAGGGAGAGAGGCCTATATTTTGATCGTTTACATTAAAATATGTACCTGAAACAATGAGCTGAAACATTGTTTGATAGCAGCCGGTTTTTCGTTCTATAGTCAGTCATTTTGGCCTGTTTTACATCTTAAACCAAAAGCAACATGATTTTTTCGTAACTTTCTGAAATCTTGTACATTAATTTGCTGTGATTGTTGCAAACTGAAGCTTCGTGATAAACGCCCGCTGATGGATATACACGATATCATTCCTCGCCTCGAGGGCGGAACTATCGTATTAGAAACATGTTGAAAGTAAAAGTGAAACTAAATTAAAAACGGATCTCTTGAAGAAACTAAAGTAAAAACTAATATCTGTAAGAAAAAGCTCACGCTGGTGGATATAATCCACATCACCTCGACCCGCGGGCGGAAAAATCGTATAGCACTCGGGCCCGATGGGCCCTCCGTGCTATACGAAAATATGTCCTCCTCGGGCTAGCGCCCTCGGGGACATATGAAATATTGCACGCGCGTGCAATATTTTGTTCCGCCCGCGAGTCTCCGGTGATATGTATATATTTGGTTGACGATGTCAACCCATCGATATCGTTGCTCTGCGAAGCAGAGCAACGATCGACGAAGCAAGAATGCTAGTTCGCGCGGCGCGTCGAAGTGGCGAAGTCCTCCGATGTATATATATACTCTCCTGTATGTAATGTAGGCTGTGATATGACTGGTGCAGCTTGTTACAGCTTGTTAGTGTACGGCTAGCATGATCCTGTCCTCAAATAGTCAATCACTTATCGATGGATCAGATCTCAATGGACCAAATCAGCATTATATTAGAACTGTGGGAGCAACGT